CAAACACCTCTGAAAACTAGCATTCAGTGGATCCCAACACTCTGCAAACTCACAGCACATCAGGTGATTGAAGCTACAGTCCTAAGGCATTTTGTCAGATGTGCAAATAGAAACAAACCAAAACACCTGGGCAGAGCCCAGGGCGTGATCTCTGAGAAGACCTGGTGGCCAGCGAGACATCCTGCCCTTCTCCAGGCCAGGGTGAGCATCTGCCCCCACAAGCAACGCAGGAGCTGCAGGAACTTAGGATTCCAGATTCAAACTCCCCGGATTGTTCAGGAACATAAAAGAATAATCTCATGAACATTTGCAGCTTCTCAGAAAAGCCAAGGCACTTGTATATTCTCTTGTCTAGCACGGAGTGGTTTTTTTTTTTTTTTTTTTTTTTTTTTTTTTTTTTTTTTTAACATTAATCCTGTTATTGGCTCTCTTGACGGTGTCTGACACAAGGTTCTGTTCAACAAAGGTTTCCTGAAGGCCTCTGGAAGGTGTCACTGATCCTCACAGTCGGGAAGGACGTAACCCCCACAGGGGCACTGCCTGGGCTTCTCTGCCGTCCCCACATGAGACTTGGAACTGTCGCCCTGGTTTCCTGGCTCCCAAGAGGTTGCCTATTTGCCTGTCATACACAGCAAGCCTTCTGTGAGATCAAGTGCTTTCTCAAAGTATTGGGCAGGATCTGGGGGTGGAGCACAGTTACCATCCAGGTAAATGCACGTAAATGAGAAAACGATGGTGTAACAACAGGACACTCATAATTATTCTTCAGCACAGGCCATGCAATCCAGAATATCCATCATCTCAGGCATCCATTCCCAGCAGTCGGTCCACACAGAGGTGAGCAGGGCCCATCCTATATCAGAAGTTCCCTGTGACTCTGAACTCCAGCTAACCTAATTAGTCACTTCAACAAGGTTCCGTTGGACAAGTATTTATTCTACGCCTGTCATCCCCAAAGCAGGAGCCCAGCAGTATGAAACAAGCTCCAAGCTGACAGGAAGATGACAGTGGCATCTCCAGGGCCTAAGACAGTAGCTGGCCCTAAGGATGTTCAAGACCTGTGGACCGACTGAGCCTTGAAGAACAGACAAAGCTTCAGCAAGCAAGATGGCGCGAGGCACGTCCGATCAAAACAGAATGCGGCCAGGGCTTCCCAGACGGCACGTGGGATGGTTTTCAACAGCGCACAGGCACGACTCCACAACAGGACCCTCATATTTGAAAAGTTAATGCCCAGTCAAGTCCCCTTTAGTCCTTCTGATTGCATCAGGGAGAAAGTTCCAGAGTGGTACCAAGAAGTCTTTAAGCCTTCCCTAGTGCTTGATCATTTTCCTTTCTAACACACAGGGAGTGTGGGCACTTCTTCAGAGACTTTGGCAAACAATGAAATCTAGCTAGAATTCTGTGACACTGTTGTGTCTTCACTATATTTATTTTTACAATTACTTTCTGTTTTGAGCATGTGATAATTGGTTTTCTGCTTATAGAAGAGTACAAAGTTTCTGTTTTAAATTATTTTATTTGAGGCTAAAAGCCAGCTAATTTAAAGAGAAAATACGAAATACTGCAGAAGGTGCATGTTTAAGACCAAAAAATGCAAAAATCACGCAGGTGGTACACAGTTCTACATGGGGATGACAAGAACCAGGCCTCTGACTTCCGTGAGCCTGAGTACCAAGGTAAAGAAGTGTAAGAGCTTCCAGGAGGAGGGGACAGTTCATAACAAGAGCCAGGGTACACGTGATATGGCAGAAAGGTAAACTGAGGCCAGGTCATAGAGAACCTGGAGGCTGAGGGGCAGTATCTGGGCTTCCGCCCGCGACCGCAGCATCCACTAGAGGTTGTCAGCACACTTGACAAGCAGGCTCCTCCCTAAAGCTGGACTGGTTTGGAGAAAGAGAGGAGAGAAGTTGGGTTGTTTGGACTCTGAGGCAGAGAGGCCAAGGAAGCAGCTAGAACTGCCTCCGCTCTGCTGACCATAGTGAGGCCTTGAGAATGCACCTGGCACTCCAGAGGGATGTGGCTCATCACAAAGCTCTGTACCTCACAGAGGCACCCCCACCAGCATGGTGAGTGGAGCAAAGCATGGGGCGGCACAGTTAGCCTGGGAGGCAGGTGTTAGCCTAAGCAGTCTCCCACGATAGATAGTTATCACCATATATGGAATGAAAACTTCCAGGGAAAAGGAAAGGGGAAAAAAAAAGATTGGAATAGGCTTAAAGAAAAAAGAAAAAAAATACCTAAAGATAGCCTAAACAAAACACACCCAGCCCCTAATGCCTGCCTCACTGTCTGCTAGCCATATGGTGTGTGATAAGCCAGACGCTTTTATTTATCTTCTTTGACTTGTCTGTAAAGCCGAGAGCCAGCTCCACTGAGAAAGTTCCTCTTGTAGTAAAGACTGCATCTTGCTCTTCAGTCCTGACCAGCAGCTCCCAGGCTCTGCTCTGGGAGGCAGCCCAGCTGCCACTCTCCTTCCCCCATCCTTGCTGCCTGCCTCGGCCCCCACCCGAACCTCGGCCAATAAAACATGGGCCAGGCCTCCCACCTCCTGGGCCAACTATGCCACCTGCAGACAGCTAGCCTGCTCACGAGTGCTCGTCCTCACTGGGGCACTCTGCCATTCGCCCAGTCCTCTGCTGTGGCCCAGACAGTAACTGGTAGAAACAAATGTTCCTCGTGGCTGTGAAGTGCCAGCCACCTTGAGCATTCCTCAACAGCCACGCTGCCTGTAGAACCATAAGAGCTTCAGAGGTATGTGACTTCCTGGTGTATCCCTCTGCTCCCGTCTCCCTGCGTGAGAAAATGGCCAAGCAATAACTATATCCAAATTGTTCCAGGTCCCACTTCTCTGAATCAGGCCTGTTCTCTTGCTCTCCCTAAAACAACCTAAATGATCACATAAAGGTCTGTGCTCGCTCTGCAATCAGGAGCCCTGGTCTCAGCCTCCAAACTCTTCTGCCCACCATCTCAATCTCTCCTGCCAGGCAGGTTCGCCTGAGGGGAGAAGTGCCACTTGTGGAGTTGAGGAAGATCAGCAGAGCTGAATCTGCCAACAGGATGACAAGTCAAATTTGAATTTCAGATAAACAACAAATCATTTTTAGTATAAGTATAGCCCGTGCAATACTGGGGACATACTTATACTCAAGAATCATTCGCTCTTGATCTGAGATTCAGATTTAGTTGTAAGTTCTATATTTTTATTTGCTGAGTCTGGCAACCCTAGGTATTAGGAAGGAGCAGCCCTGCTCTTCCCCAGTAATGCTCAGAGGCCACCATAGAAACAACCCTCCCTCTGCCTGTACCTCACTATGGCCACTCCCTCAGTGCACTCTGCAAAGGCCTGCACGCACTGTGTGGCCCTACCTCACAGCCAGGAACCCTGGTAACTACGAACAAAGGTAACTTCTCAGCCAAAGCAGGAAGTTAAAAAGAACCCCAAAGGAAAGCATTTGTGGAGCAGACCTGGCTTGAGGAAGCCCAAGAGAAGATGCCCTGTCCCCAGCAAATGTGAAAACACCAAGCACAGGCACTCGACGGCCTGGTGCTTGCCTGGAGCCTGTCCTAAGCTGCCTCACACTCCCGCAAGGCACCCACAAGCCAATGTAATCTAAGATTAAGCAGGGCAGGGCTGGCTGGCTTAACAGCAGCACAGACAGCTTTATAAATGGCCAGCACCCCAAGCCGTAGGGCAGCTGGTCTGGGCAGGCCCCAGCACGAGTTCTGGCAGAAGACACGGCCCTGCCCCACTGAAAAGCATCTCAGGGGCATGGACTTATGTGCTCTGGGCCAGGCCAAGTGCCATGGATGTGTGGGGCATTTCTCTATATACAGCCCAGAAGCATCTAGAAGCAGCTGTTATTCTCCTGCTCTGGCACTAATAATGCAATAATAGAATGACACTTCATCTCCTATCTAGAGACTATTTTAACTATCCGTCAAAATCCACTGGCTAATAATATTAGGTTGAACTATAGGAAATTGCCATTTTTGTGAGTCAAAAAATGTTAGAATATTGGCAATTATGTACAACCCAACCAAATAATAATAATACTGAATACTTTCTATTTATCGGACACCATGCGAGGTCTTTAAGTAAGTTCATCCCATATGTTTAATTCTCACAACCACCTTTCAAGGTAAGTATTACGGTGTTCCTTTCAGAGGTGCAGAGACCGAGACAGGTCACAATACTCATCCAGCTGCATACACACTGGGCCTGTGTGACTCCGAAACCTATATTCATTCCACCCACCACGTGGCCTGGATTATGTGGGTTCTTCTGCCTCCTTCGCTCTCTGACTCTGCCCATTGGTCAGCGTCGGGATATTTTTGCTGCAACAAGCACCACAGGACTTCCAGCCAGTCAGCATCTGCCTGCACAGGGGCCACTCTGTAGCTAAGCAAAGCCTGGACTCCTAAATTAGAAGCAAAGTGTATTTAACAAATAATTTCAAGAGGAGAAAAATACTTGAAAGTTTATTTAGAGGGAGAAGGGAAAGGGGCCAAATGCACTCCTGAAATAAATAGAAGTAATCATAGGAGAAAAATCTAGTCCAACCAGTTTTAAAATGCCTTAACTATGACTCTAAGCTGATGCGTTATGGACCACTGAGAAAGGCATCAGGTGTGGTGTGATCCAGCCTCACTGCAGACCCAGAGGCATGTGCTTCTGGGGCTCTCCTCTGAGAATATTGCTGAGCCTCATAGTGGGGAGAGGATGAAAAACCTCCTAAAAGAACAGGTCAGAGTCAGGACCACCACAGGTCTCTTGGCCCCGCATAACCCTCCTCAGAGGCTGAGACCACACAGTAAGATGAATGAAAGGGCTGTCAGAAGCCAACTTTAAAAGAAGAAGAAATGGATATTTTTCTCTTTGCGAAATAAAATTTTGGAATTCAGAACATACATAATGCATAATAAAAGTGGTTTCCACAAGCTCCAACTGAACATCTTTAGAGATCAAAGTGTGAGGATAAAAAGGAGGCAGGACTGACCTTCACATGGGCCGTGTAGTGATGACATGTCTCCTCCAAGTGGGTCAGCTGCAGCTTTTCTGTGACCTGACCCACCGTCTCTCCCAGCAACACAAAGTAGACCCTGGGAAGCTGGCCCTTCTCCTTTTTGGCCACATCAGCCGTCAGAACGTAATTCAGGCCTGCCAAGAAACGAAGGTCAAAACATCAGCAAAGACACACATCGTGAGGAGGACACCTCCGCTCCCCCTCACAGGATCACATGCACGTTCTGTCTACCTAGCCTGCCTTCCACCGAACGAAGGACTGCAACCCCAAGTCAAGACCGCCTTGGCAAGAGGCATGCAGCCAGGATTGCTTCCCTCTGCCTTTCCAGTGACACTCTGTGTGTCCCACTTCATGGCTCTCCCTGATTTAACCCTCATGCCTGTGGTATCAACTGAGCCACCAATATGCACATCAACAGTTAGTTGTATCCAACACAGGTTAGTGTTCTGACAAGCAAACATCATGGCAAACCTATAGAACGTTGCTAAAAGCTGCTAAAATTATGGAGCTTCATGTAATACTGACTCCTATAAAGCACCGGGATGTATGCCCAACATAAGGGAGCCATCACGTCCAATAATTCTAACTCATCTCACCAATGCTGTCATGCTCTGCACCACTGCATTATGGGACTGTGTGCCTTCCATGGTTTACTGAGCACTGACTATACACCAGGCACTGTTGTAGGCACAGGGGATCCATCAATGAACAACACAGGCAAAAACTCTCGCCTTCATGGAGCTTACATGCACGGAAATTCAGATGAAGGCTAGAATTGCCTTTATTCCCAGGTAGCAGAGTGTGGTGATCGAACATTTTGTAGTGCCTACCCTTTCAACAAAACTATGACCATGGTGGGTTCTGTACTGAGGTCCTCTCCTGCAAAGAATAACTCATCCCCTATCCCTGAATGTGTAATGCCAGATGGCAGAACTGCTGTGATACAGTCTGGGACTTAAAGAAACAAAAGATGGCCACAATATCAAATGCATACTTGATAACCCAGAAGTTTTTACCTCCATCATTGCAGAGTCTGTAAGTAAATGTACGGCAATGTGTTTTAGTAGGTAAATACGGCTTCAGTATCAATAGACCTATCTCACTGCTTTTCTGTGTCGGAGAGGTCAGCCCCTCTTTTTATTTCTTTTAACTGTTTTGGGGCTACGTCATTTTTAAAGTGAGAGAACAGGAACCTCTGTCCCTAAAGCAGATGACCCAGCCCGGCCCTGGCTCCACACATCTGGATCCTGGAAGCCTGGCCTTTGCATCAGTGAAAAGCAGCTCCGTGCCTGCTAGTGTTTGAGTCAGCGAAGCCAGGCAGCGGGGATGGCTCTGGTTTTTAATAATATCAAAGGGATCAGCCGCCAGGGGAGGTATGAAGAGAGGGAGAGGAAGGTGCCCCGAACGGACATTCTGCGGCTGCCATGGGGCATACTTTTGATGCCTCTAATGGCTTCCCTGGGCCTCTGCCATCTCAGGGATCTTGCCATGCCGAGCTGGCGGATTCCTGGTCAGCAGGAGCAAGTCTGCCTCGACTTGTTTATTCCAGCAAACAGCTGACTTATGAGGCAAGGCTGTCACCAGGAGGGACCTGAGATCTGGATAATCTCAGGAGATGCCGTAACTAAGAAGAAAAGAATGCATAGAGGAAAGTGCTTCAACATAAAACACACTGGAGACTACACAAGGATGAGACACCACCTCCAATGGGGACAGCAGCAGCAAACGGGATGTCAAAGCTTTGAGGCAACCCTAGAGACCAGAGTTTGAAACCTTCACTTTATAAGATAAGAGACCCGAGGCCCCAAAAGGGACCAAGACTTGCTCCAGGCCAGAGAACCATCACTGCAGAGGCAAGTCTAGAATTCTCTTCATCTCTGGTGCCGGGCTAGTCCTACCATACTGGTTCTTGGTGTATTTTTTCATTACTTGACCAAAAACTCACATTTTTTTGAATGCACAAACAGCAAATCCAAACAAGTGCAAAGATCTAGAACTAAACTCTGGCCAATTTACTTTCTACTGCTCACAACTTCCCTGAGCAGCAGCTCAACAGTAAGAAAGGTTAAGTTTAAATGAAGTGGGTTTCCACATTCTGTTTAGCCAGACCACGGCTAGAGATGCACACTGCTGGAAGACAAGCCAGAGGCCTGGGTCGGGTGAACCACGATGGTGGTGGCAGCGTGTCCCCTGTGTACCCCAGACCAGCCTTCTTCCCAGGTGAGAGAACCAGGGCTGCTTCCCTCAGGAAGGGTGACAATGGAGAGGACAGCAGGATTGAGCTATCTCGCCAGAGATGAGCTAGCTGCACTCAGAGAAAACCTGGGTGGAAGTGAACACAGGAAGACAGAGCGGATGGTATTGGTTCCCCACCCATATCCTCTTGTCTTTTACCATTTCTCTGCTGTCCAGCCCAACTTGCAACTGCCAGCACCTGTGTCCCTCTTCCCCAGGGCTTTCTCCAGTGGCTCTGCCCACATGCAGGGTGGGCCAGGAGTGCCGGGGAACTCCAGTAATGCAGGACCCCAGCTCCCTCGCCCCTTGGGTGGGGTAACTCTGAAGCACGCTCTACACCGACTCTCAGGGTTCCCCAGCAGGATTAAGCTCTAGCTGTCTACAGGGGTGACCCGCTCAGTAATACACCCTCCATTTGGCTGCTGTGATGGTTAATTTTATGTGTCGACTTGGCTGGGCTGCAGTACCCAGATATTTGGTCAAGCACCAATCTAGAGGTCACTGTGAAGGTATTTTTAGATGAAGACATTTCAACCAGTAGATTTTGCATAAAGCAGATTATCCTCCACAATGTGGGTGAGCCTCGTTCGATCAGTTGAAGGCTTTAAGAGAAAAAGACTAAAGTTCCCTCAAAAAGAAGGAATTCTGCTTCTAGACTGCCTTGACACTGGAGCTGCAACATAACTCCTGTCTGGGTCTCCAGCCCACTGGCCCGCCGTGCAGAATTCAGACTTTCCAGGCCCCACGATGTCATGAGCAGGTTCCTGAAAACCAATTAACTAATCTCTAGCTCAGCCCCACCTCTCTCTGGGTTCTGTTTCTCTGGAGAACCTCGACTACTCCAGCTGCCTTCCCCTCCTGTCTCGCCACCCCATTTCCCCGCTAGTGCTTCCTGGGATCCCCATGAATTAACAATGTGCTCAGATCCTTTGTCCAGCCTCTGTTTTGGGCAGAACCCAAATTAACACAGGGCAAGTCAGAAAAAGGGAATGAATTCAACCTTCAACGTGTGCCAGGCACTGTGCTAAGTACTTTACAAACACCAGCTTTGGTCCTCCGAAGTCCCATCTCACTGAAGAATCACTGACCCAATATATGTCCCTCTTGCGGCTCCGGGGAGGTGACAAATAGCCCACAGTTCATAGAAATCGAGCTGAGGACAAGGCAACTGCTGCTCAGCTTCAAGCGGGGCGTGTGCATGCCGGCACGTTCACCTTTCGGATTTTTCTACAATGTTACAGTATACAATCACAGACCTACCAAGTTATCCAGTTCACCAAGCACAATCATTTTGGAAACACTTCATCTCTAGAACTGCCTGCTTGGTGCTTCTCCTTGATTTGAAATGTATTTTGACATTTTAAATTACCCACAAAGAGGTCAGCTCTGTATCAGACTCTCTCTTCTAGAAGCAAGCAAGATTCGTGATGAGAAACCCGCCTGAGTGAGGAGGCAAGAAGAAATGCAGACCATTCTGGTAGTTTTCAACTGCACCCACCCAAGTGTGCTGGAAGGGAGCCCTAAGAAGCGGAGGACATGTCAGCAGAGCAGCCAGTTGGCTCGCGGGGTTCAGCAGGCTGGGCCCTGGGAGGGTGGGTGCGTCAGGCAGGCTGGGTTGCCCGCAGCCGCCCCTAGTGCAAGCCAGCCAGCCTGGCAGCCAGGCCAGCCCCATCCGACCCAGGGAGGGTGCTGGTTCTGATTAGGGCCTGCTCCAGCAGCGCATTTCACGTCTTCGAGTTTTTCCTCTGGCAGCTTGTGTCCATGCCATGTCGAATGATGTCATGTTGATGGAAAAGCTGATCAGCCCCGAGTAATACTTTCAGTCGCCTCCTTTCCCTGCCCCCCTCCCAACCGCTGGTTCCCGAGGGCCCCCACACAGGCCTGGGCCAGGCGGGAGCCAGCTGTCTCTCATCAACTCTGGCTCTGGTCCCTCCCAGCAAGTTTCGATTCATTCTCATTCTCCATCAGAACAAGATTTCAGCTGTGAAATTCTACTAATAAATTCTCCTTCCAGTTACTCTGAGCTGCCCTTAGAGTTTCCCAGGAGAGGGAGGGGAAAAAAGGATATTTCCACTTTCCTAGCTTTCCTAAATCCCCCTCCGCCCAAGGAATTAGGTAGCAATTATTAGACTAGGTTACCCCATTCCTCACAGCACATGGACTTGCCTCATCATCCCATCCATCTCCAAGCTTCTTGAGAGATCAGAAGGAGCTCAAAGAATGTTCTCTGTGTGTAAATGCTCTCCAGAGTAGAAATGCAACCCTAAAACCAGGGGAAGGGTTTGGGGACAAGTCCACCTGGTTTCAACCCTATTTCTGCTATTGGTATGGATGACGTTGGTGCCACCCTCTCAGGACCTGGGCTCAGCTGCTTGTCCAGAGGCAGGGCAGGCACCTGCTTGGTCACAGCTTTGTTAGGCTGTCTGAGAGCCATGGAAACACAGGGGCACTGCATCCGAGTGCAAAATACAACCACTTAGGGATCATCCCTTCCTGGTTGCATTTGGCACTCTGGTGAGACTGCAGAGTTGCCAGCTCGACTCCCAGCCTCCAGAGACTGACAAGCAAGTGTACACTTCAGCCTGGCCAGCGAGTAGGTCCAAGCACAGCCCATGGGTCAGGGGCAGAGCCCCCTTGGGCACAGCATTCGCCACCTTTACCTGTGCCAGCCAGGAGGCTGCATGGAGCCACAGGCTGCTCCCCAGGCCTAGAATGAAAGACTAATACTACTATTTGGGACAGGCAGAACTCCTTTAAAATGGTTAATGAAGTACATTATAAACCAGTTCTTGGGGAGCCCAGTGTCAGAGTGAGAGTCCGTGTCTGCATCCCAGCGCTGAGCACAGTGTCTGCACACCTGGGCTGAGTGCACATCTAGAGGAGCAAGTGTGGGGGCATCGGCTATTTCTGTCCTGAGTGTCTGCCTTCCTCCCACCAGATGCAAGTGCCACGAGGGCAAGGACTTTGCCTGTCCTAGTCACTGCTCTGTGCCCCGGGCTGAGCAGAATGCCTGGTACTTTGTAAGGCCTTAATTATTATTTGTTGATTGAATAACCAACCAGAGCTTCAGGAACTTGATGTCACTTGGATACTTGCTGTGCTGGTTTATGAAGCTGTGCTCTCTCACTTCCAGCCTACCCTTCCCTATTCTGCACCACGATGCTGGGGCTGGGACCCTGCAAACCTCATTTCTGTCTTGCCAGTGGCTGTGAGGCTCTGCCAATATGGAGAGCTTGAAGCAGCCTGCAGAGGGAGAAGAGACTCCTTCCTCCCCACTTCCTATTCCTATCAGCCTAACTCAGCAACAGTTTTTCATGGCAGCTGGTCTCAACATCAGTTGATTCTAGTTTCCAGTTTTTGCCAAGCCCCCAGAGCCAGGCTCACCATACCCTCTCAGAGACACCTGCAGCACCAGCCAGCACCTGCTCCTCAGAGGTCTAGGTCCCAGCTCCACAGGGTCCCTTCTCCAAGCTTACAGGTTCTGATAGCCCCAAGGAAGTGGTTAACCCCAAGTATAACCTTGACCAGGGGTCAAATCTAAGCCACCTGGAGGCTTGTTAAAACACAGTTGCAGACCCCTCAGGGTTTCTGATTCAGTTGTAATTTGTATTTCTAACAAGATCCCAGGTAATGCTGATACACTTTGAGATCCACTGGTGTAGACCTAGCAGCAGCAGCTACAGTTACCACCAGGTCCTCTATGACCTGCTTAACCAATTCCCAGTGTTAAATTCCCTCTGTTAAAATAACTGGTGTGGTTTCTGTTTTCCTAACTGGGCTCTGCCTGTTTCAGAGGCCAAGGCACATTCACCCCCTACAGAGAAAGTCTTTATTTCCCATGGGATTTCCAGAAGCTAATCAGCCCCTTTAAGTGGCTTTGCTAATCACCTGGTCCTGAATGCTACCCTGATCAAGTAGGAGCTATGGTTTCTCTAAAGCAGGAAATAGAGAGGCAATTGGTGTCCCTTCTCTATACTCAAGCCCTACCAGGCAGAGAAAAACAAACTAAGAGGACAAGGCTGTAATACCAACTGTTTATGGCTCCCAAAACCATCCTCAGAGATGAATCATGTGTCTGAAGATGCTAGAAGACATCACTTCTGACAGCTGTAGAGAAGTACCTAGCACCCCATGGGCCCAGGTTGCAGTGCCCAAATGTGGCCATACTTCTGACAAACTGAGCCCAGGATATGCAGACACTGAGAGGTGCCTAGAAGGCCTGCCCAGTGCTGGCACTGATTCACCAGGCATTCTGTGGACAAAGCCACCATCAACATGGTTCCTCTGTAGCTGCCAGCAAGGGGTAAGGAAGGCTCATACCCCAGCCATGGGTTCCTGATGCAGAGACCTGGAAGATGATACTGACCAGCCAGCACCCTCTGCTGAGCCGAGAGGAGAGGAGAGGATGTCTGTGCCTTGCAGGTGCCCCATCCTTCCTCCACCTGAAGACCTGATCCTCCCAACTGCACAGAGTCCAGGGGCTGCCTTCTATGCTGAATTCTAGGAACACCCCACCCACAAACAGATCCCCACAGCCAGATCCCCATAGCTACTGACAAGCTACCCTTCACCTCCACCTTGTTTCCCATCACAATTTCATGGTTCACTCCCCAAACTCTCCATTCCATTGCCAGTTCATTTTTGGACAGATTTCTGCATTTCTCCCTCTACTGAGAAGATTGAGACATAGTTCATTTCCCTGAATGCCAGAGAAAGTGACAGAAAAATGCCAGGGAGAAATAGTCTTCTGCATTGCCCTATTGATACCAAAATTCTCCAGCTACCATCTCCTTTAAGCCTGATTCTTAAATAAATGTGGGCAAACACCCCCTTAGAGTGTAAAGGTATATTTGACTTCATCTGTGAACCCATGTGGCAGATGGAGGCTAAGGAAGAGACTTGAATGTGGGGTGCACACGTGTGGGACGATTCCCACCCGAAGTTGGATATTAGCCAGGTTGCCTCATACTGCCCACAAGGTACAGCACAACAGGTCATGCAATTGCCTGTCTCTTCCGTTTTACCCAACACCTCTAGGGCCACGGCTAAGCCTGGGCCTTCATTGTAGTCCTGCCTAGTGGTCAGTGAAGGGTGAGGCCTTACGGCCCTGAGAAAGGGCCGCTGGTCAGGAACAGTATGGGGAGGCTCCCACATCTGGTCCTCGCTCAGCCCAGGAGCCTTCAAACCAGAGTGTGCTCTACCACTTGTCTCACGTTCTGAAATCACTCCTGCTTAGACTTGCATCTTGGTTTCTTCTCCTCTGTTGTGGCTATAACCACTTTGCCTCACTTTCAATGCACTGCTTCAAGATCAAAATAGCAGAAACTCTCTGTACCTCCCTGTGGAGGCCCCATGTGTGCAGGGCTGTCATCTCCAGTGCTTGGCACATGTGGACACACAATAAATATTTGTTAAATGAATATACACATGAACTATTAATTGCTTGCTTCTGGTAGAGTTCTACAATAGTGCTTATTTTTTATGTGCATCAAAATTGATCTTCAATCATTCTTTAAAAATGTTTTTAATGGAGTCCAACTACACCATGAGGTGGTATTTGATGGAGGACACGAGTCCCAGGACCACCAGGAAGCTTTTTTCCTTAATAATATGGCATCTTAAATAATTAGGGATGTGGTGAGGACTACTTGTTGGAAAGCAGAACTAAGCACCATCAGATCCAACTCCAGTTCCTGGCTTCACCAATAGCTGTATGATCTTGAGTTAGTTTCTTTTTCCCACTGGGCTACACGGAAAAACTGTGTTAATCCTCCCTCACTAACCAATTCCCAACTTTTGTCACATAGTTACATTCAATCTTGAAATTTCTAAGCTCTCTTAAAAGGAAAAAAAATCTGTATAAATAAGTACAAAGTTTAATTGTTGAGCTTATTCAATCCACTTGAAGATCAAGATAAATCTCCAGTGCAACAGTTAGCTGAGAAGGATGAACACATTCTTAAATAAGGTAGAACATTCGAGGTGCAGTTAAGGACTGAACTAGTTTGTGGAAGTGTGTGTCTGCATGTTTGGGGGTTTGTACACACACACGTGCTTCAGAGCAGTGCTCCTCCAATGTGCACACAAATTCAGTGGGGATCTTGTTAAAATGCAGACTCTGACTCAGAGGTGCAAAGGAGGGCCCAAGAGTCTGCATCTCAACCAAGCTGCCAGTGATGCTGATGAGTAGCAAGGGGTGTCACTTATGACATTAAAAATGTCTAAGAACATCAGTGAGTCCAGGCTCATATTGGTGTTTTTTTTGCCTGAAATTTTACTATTATTAAATCAGCCTTTTAAGTAAAAACGAAGCACATATTAATCTGCATAATGATCTAGATTCATTTCCTTCAGGTGATCACATGCTGTGAATTCTAATCAACACTGACCCGATCTTGTTCTGGGGGTCCAGTGTCTGGAGTTGAGCTAGCAAGTTGACTTTCCCCAATCAGAGTAATGGCAGAGACAGCTACCACCTGTCAGGGGAACCCCTGCCTCTTTTCAATTCTCAAAGCAGCCCCCCTCTCTTAGAAACCTAAGCCTTTGTAAAACCAGCATCCCAATCCCACCATCCATCTTTGGTCTCCAATTCCACGGTAAATGGTGTAAGCCCCCCAACATCTGGCTGATGCTGCAAGCTCAATGGGGAGCCTCTGAAGTCCCATCATTTCTGTTTTCTAACTGCTCGAAATGTTCCATAAGGGCCAAGCTCCAGGCACTGTATTTCCACCAGTCTCACAGGCCTGTCCCACTCATGGTCCAGTGAGGTTTCAGTCTGGTCCATGTACATTTGGGGAAAGGATGCTTGGGGTCCAACATTATTTGTCCTAGAGCTGGAGGTTGTGTGAAATCAGAAACATGCTGATAAGCAGGAAAGAGAAGGGGAGGAACCTCAGAGGGAAAGGGTGTCCAGCCAGTGAGCCTGCTGTCTGCAAAACCAGCCAGGATGCTCAGCGACAGGGCATGTCTGAAACATCCCATGCAAGTCCACTCCAGCTAAGATAGCTATCCTGAGCCCTGACTCAGTGGCTCATTACCAATTTCTCCGGGAACATGTTTGCCATGGAAGCTGAAGCAGGCGGTGACATTCAGGCAGTTCACGGGCTGCTGTCCATCATGACACTGAGGCGCTGTGATGTTGATGGAGCCTGGAAGGAAGATGGAGACATCCACCGTAATGACGGGTCTCGCTCTGCAGGACAAGAGAGTGGGGTGACTTAGTGGTGGTAAGGAGCAGCTCTCAGAACCAAACAAGAACTATACCAACAGGATAAATCCTAGGCCTTCAACTCAGCCTTTATTTAAAGTATGAAATAACCCAAGAAAGAAGGGCCAGTGTGTTCTGTAAGTACTTTTTCTGGTTTTAGAAGTGGCACATTGCCTAATAAATTAATGGTTAGCTTCCCAATAATAAAGGCAAGTTAGTTGTTAATAAAACACATCTGGTTAAAGCCATAAACAGACCACCAGATGCTGCACAATTATTTAAAATTTTACCAATTATGGACCAATTTCCATTTTACTAGGGAGATAGGAATATATCTAAGTGGAGTTCCATGACTCGAGAAATGGATGTACGCTCAGGGATTTGCCCAAAGCATCTACTGTCATTATAAGCATGAGCTGCAAAGTTCCAGGCCCATCCAGTCAGGCAAATCTCTTCCTTCACTTACCCCATCAGTTCGTTGGTATTTTTCTAAAAGAATTTGATTAATAGAGTCCCAACCAGTAACAGCAAAGCACTTCAGAGCAGAAGAAATCAACACACCCAACCTCAGGACCAAGTGAAACGCGATGAACATCCACACTCTCCTCCCTGACATGGACCCTCCCCCAGCACTTGATAGATGGAAAGTAACTGTGGGCTCCCCCAGGGCATCCAACAAAAGCTAAGAGTCAATCACACCATTCTGCTCTCACTGCAAACATCTGCTGTACCTAAGCTGTGGCTTAACCTTCTCCCCTCCAGGCCTCACAAAGAGACCCTTTTACCCATAAGGAGCTTCAGCCTTCACGCTGCTGTGGTGACATAACAAGATTAGGGGGCATTATCAGCTTGAGAACAATGACCTCGCTTGTGTGTGATGCTCCCTCCAAGAGAGCCCAGGGTGACAGGGTGGACGGGAGAAGAATGCATTAAGAAAAACCTGGGTGACAAAAGGAAGCGAGGACGCACACAGCACAGATGGGGTAAGGGGACTCCACTGCTGCCACCACCGCCAGGAGATGGGGTCAACAGAGGGGCAGTGGTGACAGGTGCGATGGAGTTGTAGGACTTGCAGAGCAAATCCAGCTGTAGGATAAACAGAAGCCAGACAACAGCATTGCCCAAAAGAAATACAACATGCTGGCCTTTCCATTTTCTTTTGGGTTCATCCTCAGAAGATGCTAGAAGTAACTTAGAAAGTGGATAGTCTACCCAGACTGACGTGATTGTATAGATGTCAATGGACACTCCATAAAGCCCTGCTGGAGTGTCCCGCCCCTAAGAGGCCTTCCCCAGTGCCCCTGGCAGCTGGGCGTCCTCCCTCTCTGTGGTCCCAGCTTGGTACACATGCCTCTGGCCCCCAATTACTAAGGGAAATCGTCACTGTCTATTTCCAAACCTGCCCCTGCTGCACCGCCAAGGGCTGGGATCCTGGCGAATTCATCCTCATGTTCCCAGGATGAGGAATGTGTGAAAATCCTTGTTAAATCCTTGCAAATTTACTCCAGCCCTGGGGATTGAAAACCACAGGAGTACCTGAAGCTTTACAAATGAACAGAGGCAAGAGGGAGAGCCAGTGTCCACCCTGCCCCGTCCCTGACCTGCCTGGTCATCCCACAGAGGGAAAGCCCAGCCTGTCCCATCATAGCGAGGGGCCACCTCATCAGGGAGGAGGCTGAGTCCTGTTCTCATGGGACAGCTCTGCAAAAGATGGTGAGGAAGGCAGGAAATAAGCGGGAAGAGTCCAGGCGGAATGACCCGGGGGTTGTGAAGACAGAATCCTTTGAAACAGCCGACAGGGACCTACCTCACGGGTACATCTCCTTCCAACATCTGTCAGATCAGTTCCCTCAAACCTTTTTGTTTCAACTCCAAGTATTGTTTTTGGATGAAGAAAAGCCCAGAAATCTTTCATAGGCCTTCCTAATCACTTCCTGTGACCTCCAATGGCAGAGCACCAGGTGCCTATCACCCTAACACAGGACCTGCCCCAGAGCTAATCCGAGAGACACAAACTTCCCGAGGGCAGAGCCAGGGCCTGCCCCCCTTCCCTGGGGCCAGGGAGACTAGTTGCACAGTGTCTGCGAATGTGCCAGCCTGTGAGATAAAAGCAAAGGGGCACCCAAGGGCAGCACTGCAAGTGCTTTCAAAACCTTTCTTTTGAAGCTGGAATACTTCTTTCTGACGGCTGACAGTGCAAAGCCTGATATTTCATTTCCAGGTAAATAATAAAACCAGTTGGGATGCCCTTTGACACAATGTTGCTCAAGTTTCCCTGGCCTTTTGCAGGATTAGTGCTGCTTGCAGGGCAAAGACAGGCGGATAGATAAACAGCCTGCACGGCTGGTGACACTGTTAGGCGACTAAGCAGGCTGTGGTAAGTAGAGGAGCATCTGTATTGTTATCTCATTTAACAGAGGAGAATTCTGAAACAGAAAGGTCATGGGACTTGCCCAGGAAACTCACCTAACCTAACAAGAGCAGAGTCAGAGTTTGAACCCAGGCTACCCGGCCCTCAAGTTCACATTCAACCTCAAGGCTATTCTGCCTCTTTAACAATTCAATATTTAGCATTACCTGGAGGTTAGCTGGTTCGCTTAGAAGTGACTAAACCCCCACTCATGGGGCACCTCACTCAAAAAGAAGCTGTGTGGCCAGGCACAGTGACTCATGCCTATAATCCTTAGCACTCTGGGAGGCTGAGGCAGGAGGACTGCTTGAGCTCAGGGGTTCAAGACCAGCCTGCACAAGAGTGAGACCCCATCTCTACCAAAAATAGAAAAAATCAGCAGGGTGTAGTGGTGCACACCTGTAGTCCCAGCTACTCGGGAGGCTGAGGCAGGAGGATCGCTTGAGCCCAGGAGTTTGAGGTTGCAGTGAGCTATGATGGTCCCATTACACTCTAGCCTAGGTGACAGAGCAAGACCCTGTCTCAAGGAAAACAAACAAACAAAAAAAGAGGCTGTGTGATCTGGCAGTGGAGACACAGAAGGCGGCACTGCTGAATAAGAAGAATCTGGGATGTGGAACTACAACGGCCTCTGGGATCCCTTCCAGCTCTAAGATCCTACTAGTCTATTTTAGAAAGTTCTGCCATCGGGTTATTAACAAAACCTAAGAGTTGGCTCTCACTCCAAAGTGTAATTCTGCCTCCTGTGACTCATACAGCCAGAAATACTTGGAAATGGTTCATGAGTGGTGATGGCGGCCCACTGGCCTGTGTAGGAGAGGTCCAGACTGCAGGGCTTCAGAGAGCTCTGGGCTGGAGCTCATGTCCCTCGCTTTTGTTGCCAACAGGGAATGATGTCTGTCCAGTGGGCAGGAGGCTCCTGGTCCCCAGGGGGGTGAGGACCAACTGGAGGTGAGGATTCAGGTGTAAGAATGGAGAGAGAGGATGGACAGCCCCTTTGAGTGCCATGGTACCCACAGGAAAGGATGATGATTGTATGGCACATTAACGAAGGGGCTATTCTTGGCCAAAGGAAAAGAGCTCTAGGGCTTAGGAGCTAGGCTGCCCCAAACCCTGCCCAGAAGCTCTAGGGATGCTATCATCTCACTCCCGCTAGAAATTCTGGGATAGAGGATAAGAATGAGAAAATAAAGGTGGCATTCCCTTTTACTGACCACTTCCAGCTTGCGAGTAACAAAACAGACGGAAGAGCTGACTAAAGGTGAGTAACTCACCAGCACCTCCCCCACCAAATTCCATCCATCACCCATGAAGAACCCAACCCAAGCAGCAAGAGTGAAGCAACTCACCTTAGAAGAACCACACTGTCAGACATGAAGGCTCCAACAGTGACATCTGAAAACAAGAAGTTCATAGTGCTCAGAAACTTGTTGAAACCTGTGCGCAACCACCCCCTAGAGCAAGGTGCTCTCTACAGCGATGGAGGCCAGGTCTTGAGGTCAGAAAGCCCTCTGACAGCCACTGTCTCGGCTATATAACGGTTTTGTGAGAATGAGAGCCACACTGTCCCACAGAGCAGCCAATCACCATTATTGGCTATTGAGGCCTTGAAAATGTGGCTGGTCTGAATTGAGATGTGCTGTAAGCGTAAAATATACACGAGATTTCAGAGCCCTAGTACAGAAAACCATTAACCATCTCACTAATAATTTTTATATTGCTTATATGTTGGCTATATTGGGCTAAATAAAACAGCATTAAAATTAACTTCACTTGTTTCTTACCTTTTTTACATGGTTACTAAAATATTTTAAATTACATATGTGGCTCATATTACATCTCTTTTGACATCAGTGAATTACAGAGAGAGATACCTAGAATTAAATGACTCTTGGAAAATGCTCTAGGTTCTGTAGAACATGAAATCATCACCTCCAGCCCTTACTCTCTGTGACCCCAGAGAATCTCATAGTATCCTTGTCTGTAAAATGGAGATAATTATTCCCAGTACTTTCTTTAAAAGCTGCCAATATTTCATAATATTTAAATCAGAAAATAATTATTATCCATTAATATTAAGTCTTATTAAATATAATATTAAATATTTATTAGATGTATGAAATCTGATATTTAAATCAGAAAATTCATGAAAATACTTGGTAAACTATAAACAAAGACACTTATTTAACTGGTAATGTTTATTCCTAAACGACTTTAATTTAGGAAGTATTCACTCATCCAATAAGCGTTCTTTCCTCCATTATGTAAATTCCTTAGCCCTGGGGTTCCCATTATTACTTCATAGAACCAAACCCTGAGTCCAAGAGAGTCTGAATCTGTATGTCACTAAATGTATACAGCATCTATGCAATGCCCTCATTAAGGAAAAACAAGGAGCAAATCCATGAATGATAGTGTTCTTAAAATTTCTGCACTTTGGTGTATTCACTAATTTTGTTCTTCTTCAAGAGTCTTTTTTCATTAATTGGATGTTTGAAATTTTAAAAACCTGAGGAATTTGTCATTTCCCTTAGGAAAATGCAAGGTAAGAAATTCAGATTTGTTGCGAAATGTGAGCCCCCTGCTCACCATGCATTTATGGAGAAGCAGCTGCACCTCCGGGAAGCCTGGGTCCCCATCCACATGGCAGGCTCTGCCCTGTCCCGTACCTTCTCTAAAGGTCAGCATCCTTACCTACTAAGTGGGGGAAAAATCCCCGTCCCTACCTACCTAGCGGGGTCACTGTGAGATGTACATTGCATGTGGAAGCTTTGGCATACATTAACGAGCTAAACCCATATAAGGTATTATTTGGGGATGGCCAAACATCGCCCAGAACAAGAACTGCTTTCTCAAACTTAAAAAGACCCGTGAGGAACTACTTTGGGACAAAAGCTTCAACAATGACCCTCTCTACTCCCACTTCTATTCCTAGCTCTGTGAAGTCTTGAGGAGTGTTCAAAATTCTTGTCTGTCTAGAACTATAAACATTGGTGTCCTCAAATAGGGCTGTGTTGGTTTTTTCAGATTTCAAGTAGAAAGAAATATTTTCTCAAAGCAAGGTAACTATATATTCAGAAAAACATTTTCTAAATTCCATAATGCTTCTGGATTTTTTCAGATTCTTACCTTTGTTTCCTCATCTATTCCATCTTCAAATACCTGAAGAAGCACTGTTTCTCCACCAAGTCAATTTGACCTTAACCTGGTATCACCTGGCATTGGGGTTTGAAATCATATATTTTTATTTGATTAGCCTCAACCACCACAAGGCACTAATAACCCTGAATACAAGCCAGCCAGCCTTGAATGGTGAAGGTCTGTTTCATCTGTGCACAAGAGGACATGGTTTTCTTCTCGCTGCAAATCTTTCTCGATAATTTTCTTTCGGAAGTAGGGCTGGGAGTAGGGAAGGTGCCATTCCTTTTCCCTCTCAAGAGTAAAAAGCCTCTGAATATAGTTAAATATCAAGGAAAACATGAGGTTTCACTATTTATCCTTTTAAACATGGCCAGTGCTTTTTTCCTTCATTAAAAAGAATTGCTGCCATAGAAATCACCATAAAAATCCACCCTCTTGGTGCTTAAACCCTTCAGAGTAGATCATTTTAAAACTCCAAAACATACCTCCACACTATTTTCACCTTAAAATCAAATACCAGGCAAAACACCCCATCCTACTGTGTGAATTTTCCCAATCCTAAATGGATGGGACAGTTGCTAACCAGAGTGGAAATTATCCCACCTCCTGCACTGATCTTCATTTATCTCATGTGCCTTTAAAGAAAAACAGCTTACCAGGGTAGCCATTTCCATCCATATCAATGCCTCCTGATATGGACTGGCCAAACATCCGTAGAACTGGATTTATCTTCCGCCCAAACAATTTCTGAAACAAACAGGGAAATGGAGTTACCAGAAAGGACCACAGTCTCAAGTAAGAACTGTCACTGTTTCATTCCAGCTTCCCTAGGACATTTAGGCTTAAAGTTGTTGAAAGTAAAAAAAAAAAAAAAAAAAAAGATCGATCCTAATTTGATCAGAGAGTCTTTAGCAGTCTTTACTTGTCTCGGCCAAATGTCATCATTCAAAACATTTTCTAAGTTCACTGCGAATGAAAAATCCACCTAGACTAAGTATGATAATGTTTTGACATGTTGAAGTTCAAAGTTCCATTCCTAATGGAGGTTCTGTTTTGTTTTTATACAGGTATAGCTGGCTAAAATTCTAAGAATATATTTTCCTTATATCTCTCTACCCAAATACATACTAAATATTTAACACTCCTCTCCTAAGAGGCACACGTTAAAGAGTCTTTCCCTAGACGGACAGGTAATTACCAAGTCTAGATGGAAAAGACAGCCACACGGAAACCGCCTCACCATCTGGCCAACTAGAAGATCTATAGACTCCTAAGCTTCACAGAAAGGATGAAACAGTTTTACCTAGTAAATCTAGAACTCGGTGGTTCTGAATCTTCTGTAAACTATAGGAAAGCTGCTCCCCTCCCTAAAAGGCAGCCCCTCAACCAACCAATCAGAGGACACAACTCTACTATCATGGGACATGCTAGCATCTGTGCTTACTTTTATATTTATATATATATATATTTTAATATTTAAAAACAAATTTCTTTAGAGATGGGGTCTCGCTATGTTGCCCAGGCTGGACTAGAACTCCTGGGCTCAAGCGATCCTCTCTCCTCTGCCTCCTGAGTCGCTGGGACTACAGGTGCGCACCACCGCACCCAGCCATGCATGCTATTTATTCATCATTGAGTTCATCACGTGTCAACACAGGCAGCACTGGTTCAAGAATATCTGTTATACAAACTGCCTCCGACCCGCTGAAGCTGTGCATCGATGTTCCTGTGGCACAGCTTCCCACAAAGATGCTGAACTTTCTGATCTGAAGAAGTCCCATCCTCTGGGATCTGACCTGCTCCCTCTCCCTTTATCTGCAGAGTCTCCATGGAGAGGGTAACCTTCATTGTGGCATTGGGGGATAAGAGAAATGCTTTGTTTTCATGTCCTGTAGCAAAATCCACATATCCAGGGGCTTATTCTGACTTTCCTTATCCTTTTCCTTACTGAGTCATCCTGCAGAGAAGTCACGAGGGCGGGGAGGGGGAGTTTCCACAGGATCTACAAATGGAGACGCCAAGGATGTCCCTGCCCCCAGCAGCTGATAACTGCAAATAACCCTTCCAGAAATGATGAGAGAGGGCTGCCTGCCGTCTTTAGTTAAGCCATCCAATAGGAAATGTGAAAGCATCAAAGTACAAATCAGAACACCGTAGGAAACACTGAAGAAATGTTTCTTGCTAACAAGCAAAGCACCACCTCCCACATGGCTCTGTCTAAACAAGCATACATGTGTGCCTGCATATTTCTTAAAAGCCATGTTTTAAAGCAGACCATCTCAGCTCTGAAGTCCAAGAAACTCTAGCAGCAGTTTGCCCTGGGTCTGCGTTCCTAAGGCCTGCTGCGGCGGGGACCAGGAGGAGAGAGAAGGGGTGGTCCATCTGGGGGTGGTGATGTAGGCTTAAGTTATCCCACAGACATCTGCAGGCCATTATGCTATAAAGCCATGAAGATAAGTCTGTTCGGTGCTAATAACCCTAAATGGAAACCAGGAGCCTTGGAAAACCTCTGCTTGACCATGTTTATGTGCAGTGTCCTTTACGGCAGAAGAAGGATCACAGGGGCCGCCGTCGCATGCCCAGAGGGCTCTCAAATTGAGAAAGGCATGCTAGGATCTTAAAATCAACACTTTCCGTGGCAAACTCAAGACAGAGGAATGAGTTAAAGAGTAACGTGGAAGAAGTTTGGGCACTGATCTCGCAATTTACCCAGCAGAAATAATACCAATCTGGGCCAAAGAAAAGTGATTGCATTGCCCAGAGTTGTTTCTGATTTCTTCCTCTAGTTCACCCACACAATGAGGCTCTGTCCAGGACCCGGGTCTGGAAGAATCTGTCATTAAAGGATTTTTTTTCTTTTAAATCACTGACCTTATCATACACATATTAGCAGTTCAGAAAAGTATAATCATAGTTCTTTTTTTTTTTTTTTTTAAAGATCCCCAAACCACTTCTCTTTGTCAAAGCTAATGAGCCAGCATGTGTGCTGACAAAGGCAGGACAGTCCAGCTGCTGCCCGGCTTCCTACTGAAGGCGCTGCACGCTAACCACAAAACTCATGCTGCGGTGCTCTGCAGCGATTCCACCTAGCAACAGAACAAAACACTGGAGGGTCCCGGGAGGAGGGGAAGCAGGGTCTCTCACAGGTTGCCTCTCTGTGTGATTAGCTTCCGAGGTCCAGGAAAACAAGCTTCCCGGAGGATGCATGGAGAATGACCCTGACCACTGCCCAAGCATGGGGCTCCTTGGATGACTTTCAGCTTGTCACGCTAGGAACAGCGTCCTTGACCCAGCCTAGGGCAGCTCGTGACTCGGATGTGACCCCCAAACTGTGCCCAAAGTCCTCTTCCTCCTGCCATGTCGGCTGAATCACCTAAGAGTACATTAATCCCGCTGTTAGTTAACCTCATGAAAAGTAGAAATAAATTGTCTAAAGATAGTCTAGGTAGATAAATGCTCCTCAGAGTACGTATGCCTCATGGCAAAATAAGTTTCCACATTCACAAACATTCCTACAAAACTTCCTTTTTCCAGTGTGGAGTTGAGGATGGTGGTCAATGGTGAGTGTTTGGGGCATCAGACTGGCAAAGTCTCCATGGCCACACTGCCACTTACTGCATTGGCCAAGTTAAATATTGTAACTTCCTTGGGTCGTAGTCACCGCATAGATAAAAGGCGGATAATAAACATACCCATCTCATATGGCTGCTGTGAAGATTAAAGGTAAGAAAAGGGCAGAGGAGGACACTCAAGAAACCGGGCTCCTCTCCCCAGCTGAGTGGCCAAGCTCGGTGGGAGTGCGCAGAGAGGGAGCCTGAAGTGCGACTGGCGACAAACCAACCCTCGACCCTTAATCAGCCACCTTATAACTACTGTAAGGAGGACAATTACAAATATTAATATATAAGTTGTACTTACATTTACATGCTGCCTCTTAGAATTGAAATATAAATACATACATATAAACATGAGTAGGAACTGGTTAGTGCATAAGTGTTCAATAAATAAATACATGTTGATCGGAAACGCCTCGATGTGTGCTCAGTCCCTTTCTGTCTCTGACCCACTGGGCGAAAGACGCAAGCCAGCATTACTCCACACAGACATCCACAAATATCCTGACGATGCTTCTGTCGAGAGCATGACTTCCTCTTTTCCCATGGGCTGGGCTTGACACCATCAGCAAGATTGAACACCAAGCTGATATGGCAAAAGCCAGAACTCCCCACTTCCATGTTCCCAAGTCTGGGGCACAAGGCCCAAGCTTTGATCAGCTGCTGGTTTTGATACCAATTGCAACAACAGCCCATGATAACTTTCAGGCCCTTCCTCTGTTGACCATCCTCTCTAGATTATATTTTAAAACATATTCTTTTGGCTTAGCACAGATGGTTGACAAAGGAGTAACCAAAGAGAGAAATCTCTCTCTGTCTTCTTAAACAAATAGCTCCTAACTCTGGGTGAGATTTGAATATTAGCATTTACAGGCAGAATGCATCCCTAAATATAAGCAAACTCAGGATTCTAAGAATACTTTTTTGTATTTAATAAGCAATATCAATTGTTTGTGTCTTTCACTAAAGGGTAAGAAAGCTGAAGACAAGAACAATGTTGTGTCTTCCCTTTGTATCCCCGAGGCGTGGTGTTTAGTGAAGGTTCCATACATGTCTGTTGCACGAATGTGTGAACAAATATTACCATACCACTCCCACACCAATTACCATTGAGTACTGGGGGACTATTCCACCGGCGTCACCATGATAGATGTAGACTGCCCCCGAGAAGTCATCCTCTTTGGGTGCCCCAATGGCCACATCTAAAGGGAGAAAAACAGCTATGGGTTAGAAAAGCCACATAGAATAATATAAGTTCAGCTTCCCTAATCCCAGTTATCATATCTGAGGCCCTGGACACCAAAAATTCTTGCCTATTGATTGCTCAAGCATTATATTAGGCATATGATCTCATTAAATTAGGCATATGATCTCTTTCTTTAGCAGGAAAAAAAAAGTTAGGAAGAACACTATAGAAGCTGAGAAGAGTTTAGCTCCAGAAAAGTTTCTGCCTCATCCTCGTAAGAAAAACAATTGACCCACTGAATCAAAGAAACACATATATAAATTACCCTCCCTAATTTCTGTCCATCAGAGAGGGGAATTCCACAGACTTGCAGTCCCCAACCCCTGGGCTGAGGACCTGTATCAGTCCATGGACTGTTAGGAACCTGGCCACACAGGAGGAGATGAGCAGCGGGTGAGTGAATGGAGCTTCATCTGTATTTACAGCCACTCCCCATCGCTTGCATCACCACCTGAGCTCTGCCTCCCTTCAGATCAGTGGCGGCATGAGATTCTCATAGGAGTGCGAACCCTACTGTAAACTGTGCATGTGAGTGATCTATGTTGTGTGCTCCTTATGAGAATCTAACACCTGATGATCTGAGGTGGAGCTGAGCTGTGATGCTAGCGCTGGGGAGCAGCTGCAAAATCATCTTGAAACCATCTCTCCCCACCCCTCACCCCCCTGTCCGTGGAAAAATTGTCTTCCATAAAACCGGACCCTGGTGCCAAAAAGGTTGGGGACCACTGCTGTAGACAATGGTTATTGCATAACTCAGAAAGTCAACTCGATTCCTGGATAACCGAAACGTGCAGAATGGCATTCAATTCACACACAAAAAATTGACATTACTCTCACAAATTGACATCTCCTGGAACAAATCCTACATCTTCCTTACTTTTTCCCCTTTGCTGCTAACAAAAGTCATGTGTCTACAGAAGTGAGGTCCACAGTAAGGAGCATGTACCCACATGACCTGGAGATGGAGGTCCCCTCTCTGAATGAAGCCCTCTGCAGCCAGTGGCAGGAGGCATCAAAGGAGCCTGATGCCTGGGTGGGCAAGAGCTGTCCCCCAGCCACACGCCCTGGTGCCATGGCTCCTCTGAGTCCCAGCATCTATCTGCTACACATGCAGTGAGGGGAAGAGGTATCAAACAGGCCAAGGAGAAAGGCCACGAGGCTGTGAAGGACACTGCTGTCCAAACAGAACTGGACATTAGGTACATATGTCTCCACCCCCTCTACACACACACAAACTCAAAAGTGAACCCAGCTGCCATCATCAGGGGAGAAAAATGTCTACTTCTCATTCATTTTCCCAATGACAAGGTAGAGCATCATGAAGCATCGGAGGCTCAGACACAAAGAGTTTGTGGCAGGGGGAAGCTAATTCAAACTTCTCTGCCGTAAGAAGCCCCAAACGGACCAGCCCCAAGGTTTGCTTCCACTGCAGACAGCAAAGAACACTGAACTGATGAGAAAGGATTATGCAAAAGCAAAACTCCAGTGGGCTCAATGCTCAGCCCTGAGCATCTACATGGAGAACATCTCTAAAGGTTGTTCCCTCTCCCCGCTAGCACATCAGTGGGCCTTCAGAGTGGGCCAGTAGATCCAGGCCCGCACCACTGGAGATGGACAGTGAAAAGCAGGCTCTGAAGCAGGGCATGTGCTACACCTGGAGGGGCCCTGTGTGCCAGGAGCCAGTGAGCTCACCTGGGAACCCATCGTCGTCAAGGTCCCCTAGACTGGCGATGCTCTCCCCAAAGTGTGCATTGTAGGCGCTATCCCCAGTCAGGGCCAGCTGCTCCTCGAGGGCTCCCTGGGAAACAGGATGGAGGTGGGAAAAAAAAAAAAAAAAAGGAAAACAAAACAAAAACAAACAGAACCAAAAAAAACAATAAAAACCAGAGCTCAGATGCTGCCCTCCTAGAGCACATCCATTGACAGGAAACACCTGGGCGGAATCACAGGAACCCAAACTTCTCTCTCCTGGTGGCACAACGAGTTTCTTTCACCTGTGCAGCAGGAAGGTCTCCAATAGCCTGAGAGGCATTTTTCGAGGGAAGGAGAATGTCTTGTTGGCCAATGACTACTCCTCTCCCTTGTCCTAATACTCTCAACGAGCAAACCTACCTACCTACCTGTCCCCATAGTATGCGCTCAGCTTTCCTCATGGCACAACATTTTTTCCCCAAAGTTGTTTTAAAAGGGTATACATTTTTCTACTTTTTCTCTCCTATGCCTTTCAGTGCAAGTTTGTAAAGCTGTTCTGCAAGATGCGTGTATGAGTAATCTTGACAGAGGGAGTCAGAAAATCGAAACACCCAGCAGCTCTTGGCCAGGGTGAGGGTGGTGGCACATATCACTGCTCCTGTTATCACACATGGCTCAGGTCTGAATTTCCTGAGCAACACCAACCAACGGAGGGAGAGGGGTCAATGGTGTATGGGGACAGGAAAAGTCAGCTGACTTTGGGGAGAGTCACACCCAACTCTCCTCCGGAATCACTGACATGTGAATATCTGAGTGATACAATGCATCCTGATGTTTTGAGGCATAAGAATATTTAAGCTTTTCCCCAGTGTATGACCCACCATACACCCAGAAGCCATTCAAAGAGGGTCTGGCTTATGTCATGACCAAATCTTCTTTTTCACTATAAACAATCAATTTGCATCTTGAAAACAAAAAAGATATGATAATTTTCTTTTTTTTGGAACAAATATACAAAGGATGAATAACAGTTTATTAATTTTAAATCAGAGATACTCTTTTTCTAATAATTATGCATACGTAATTAAAAGAAATTGAGTCAATGAAACCCCTACCCCAAAACACAAACACGTGTTAGTTTCTTCCTCTTAGTGTGGTGGGGAAGAGCAAACGCCAGTAGCTAACTCCTCCTATGTACCATGCACTGTGTATGCATCTCCTTACTTAAATCACAAATGACCCTGTAAGGAAGGAAGGCCTTATGATCTTCCCGCTTTACAGATGAGGAAACTGAGCCACCAATTTCAAGCCATTTGCCCACGTCACACAGGCTATGAAATGGCAAAACCAAGATTCAAACTCTGGTCCCCTCGCTCCAAAATCATTTTTCTACTCCTCCATACTGCTTTCCAATCTTTAATCAAATAGACTAAGGTTCAACAGAAAAAAGAATACCCTGGTACTTAGGGTAACCACACAGCATCATGATATATTGGTTGGGAGGGTGGGGTGTGTGGGTGCATTGTGCCCAGAAGAGTTCTGGGGAAACTATCAGGCTTTAAGAGCCCAACCACTGATTTAGACACATAGTCAGGCTGTTGGGCCCAACACCCACACAAGTGTTCCAGTCTCCGCAAATATGATAGCAGAAAGCCACTGAATGCCCATTGCTCTCATCTATCTAAGGATCACCTCATTTCTGCCCAGGTCCTGCCCTGTCCCCCTTCCTGGAATGTCAGTGTGGATGCAGGCGCCAAGAATTACTACAACAGGTACCAAGAAGTACCTTCCCAGAGCCTGCACAAGGCTGTAACCTTCCCTGGCTCTCCCTTCACTGACTGCTCTTTCTTTTCTGGCATCTGCTGACCTAGTTACAGTTAAATACCACTGCCCTCTCCCAGTTGGGATAACTATAATAGCATCTTGGTCACTACATAACAGTATACTTTGATTTTTTTTATTACGAAAGTTGTACATTTTCACTATTTGGATGAAGATAAAACTAAAATTCTACCCAAGCACCACCACCCCGAGAGCTCTGTTACTCACATTCGCTATGTTATTTGGCATACTTGTAAACGTTGTTCACACACAGTTTTTAATCCTGTTTTTTCACTGATTATCTCATAAGCGTTTTCTCACGTTGGCTAAAAGGTACCAGAACGTATTCACTGAACCATTTCCCTCTTGTTGAACACTCGACCTTCCAGATCCTGAAGACTCTGCTTTCTCACGGGTCTCCTGCCTCCACGAGTGCACTGCTACCCCCTGCCCTAGCCCAGCCCCCCACCCATCCACCCTCCATCAGCTGCAGAGGGGAAGAGGCATCTTTCTGACCCTGTCATATCCTTTTCATCATTCTGCAGGATAAGGGACATCAAGATTATGTCCCCCGCCCCACCCAAACCCTTCCCCTCTGTGCTGAGCTGAGGGGTCTTGCTGCCTCACACCTAACCCACTCACCCCACTCCCTGCTGGGAGCTCTATCATAGCCCACCCTGCCTGTTTGTTAACTCCTGTTCCTTCTTCAAGATTCCCCCAGCCACTGCATCATCCTCTCCTGCTTGCCTGGGCAGATGTGTATATGCTGCCAGAAAGGCAGCATAAACTCAAGATGAAGTGTGCCAGCTCTGAAGCGAGTTTGCCTAGGTTCAAATCCCAGCCCCACCACTTCTTAGCTGTGTGACTTGGGAAGTGTTACTTAACCTCTCTGGTCTTCAGTTTTTTCACCTGAAAAATAGGGACCTTTGATACCATGTATATATTGCATTGAAATCACTTACAGAAAGCAGGAGGAACAGTCCCTGGTATAAGTAAGCACTCAAATGACAAATGACAGCTATTAAGATTCCTCCTGGCTCCTATCTGTTGGCAGTTGTAATACTGCATGTAACTTTCCATTTAAGGATCAATGAGCTTCTTCAAGGCAGGAATCATGTCCTTTCACCTCCTCTGGGTAATGTGGCCCAGTGCATGCCCAGAGGGGTGCTCAGACACCACTGGCTAGACAAATGTCCCTCCCCTACACCCATCCCCACGCTACCCAGTGTTGTACTCACATTTCCTCTGTTGATGTAGACGGTGACCTGCCCCTCGTCTCTGATCTCAGAAAACATGGGGGCCCCCACCAGCAGGTCAGAGAGGCCATCCCCATTCAGGTCAACTGCGCACAAGGAGGAGCCGAAGTAAGAGCCCATCTGCAACCAAGTTGAGTTGCAACAAAGCGTTCAGTGTCTGCCCTCACACAAGGAGGCCCTCGCTTTCCTCCAGCCCATCAGAGGCCGTGACAGCTATGCTGCCCCATAAACCACAATGCCTCGGCAAACAGTGAAATACCCAACTTCCAGCAGCCATGGAGAACCCCAGGCAATGTGAGACCAAAGCTGACTGGCCCAGAGTCCCTGTTCCTAGAGCCCTATGGAAGGGAAGATAAACAGACTGATCCCTGGAGAACAAGGTGCAAGCCGAGGTTGTGAATACAGGTTACAACCATAATAAAAGTGCCCCTTATATCAGACATTTGACAAGGCCAAGTAGGAATATGAAATTTCACAACACAAGGCAGGTATGAAAATAAACGTTACACAGGGAAAGAGGGTATCCTCCCCCAGTCCTGTGCACAGCTAAGGATTGGTTAGGAAGGCATGAGCCAAAGTGACAGAAAAAGGCCTAACTCATAAGACTGGTTGACTGATGAGGAAACAGAGCCAGTTTACACTGGCTCTTCTTTAATTACAATTTAATCTAGTACCTATTATTTTAAATCAGGGGTCTCAGATCCAAATACCCATGGGATCCAGGAAGGTGATATGACAGGTTTAAGAAAAAGATAACAGTGCAAGTATGCTCACGGGTGGCAAGTGATGCTTGTCTTCAGTGTCTGAGTGACAATAGGGAGTCGTAGAGACTGCAGCAAACTGGAACCCACAGGCCAAGCTAAAGGAGCAGCTGCTATCTGGCTGCTGCTATAATAACTGCCGTCGAAGGGAAGGCTGACCCAGAGAGGGCCAACCTTCTCATTTTTCAAGAGAAAAATTTATTTGAAGTGCCTATTTTTTAAATGCTGACAATTTATTCATATTAAAAATTAAACAAACAATACACAGGCCAAACAAACGTTTTTGTAGACTGTATCTTTTCCAAAAGGCTCCATTTGCAACCTCTGTTTAAAAGAAAAAAAGTGCTACTCTTTTAAAATAAATGTTTTCAAACAGAACGACTCTGATTTTATGGACATGACCAAGCATTTTCTTTTACTGTTGGAGTTTGCCGGCAGCTGACCCAGGGGAGTTTGAGCGAGGTAGAGGGCACTCCAATCTATTTCCTGCAGCTAACACTGGCACAGGAGGACTTTGTAGTGGCTGCTCAGAAATCCTTCCCCAGTGACATGCCAAGGCCACCTCCAGTTCCTGCCACCACCCATTCTCAAGGGAGAAGGGCAAGGAAAGGTCTGAAATCCCAGAAGGTGGGCAGGACAGAAACCAAGTTGCCAGTCACTAATTCCATGGCCTTGCCAACCTCTCCATCTGAGCTTTAGTAAAAGAAACTGGTAAGGCACAGGCAAGGCCCCAAAGAGCAAAGCCGCCGCCTGCTCTCTCTGGCTGAGCCCCAGGGGAACTATTTGTTTCATTCCAAGGGGCTATTTAACTTGGCATCTTCATCAGTGTTAAATCAGAAATCCCTGTACATGAAGTTTCCTATCTAAGTTTTGAAATGCAAACACTTCACATACTCAGTTAATTCAATAAAACTTCACTACAAAGCAGTGACATGCTTTGGGGTGAGCCTCCCTTATCAGATCACCCCACCAGCGTGGAAACACAGAGACTTGAGTCTGTGTTAACAGCTGAATTGAACACATATTGGTGATTTCTTATGTGTACTATCCAAAGGATGTCAACCAATAAAGACCAGAGGGGTTTGGGGTTTTCGGTTTTTTTCCTCTTTTGGGAAGTCAGGATATAGGACTATCTGACCAAATTCTAGCCAAACGAAAGCAGAAGTGAACTGGTGGTTTGCTGAGGTATTGTAAAACCCTCCTCTCTGTGTGGCTCCAGACATGGGGTTAAAGTTAACGGCATTCTTTGAAAACCCAGGGTCATGCCCTCTCCCTAGGAGATAATGGAGAAGTCAGAGAGACAAGAATGTCTCATTTCTCCAGCAAAAAGCAGAATAAGAGGGATAAAGAGAGGTAATGGCCAATTTCACAACAAGAACGATGATGATGAGGTAAAGCTGTCCGGAGACACTGGTGGAAGGAAGTGAAGGCGAGAGGGCCGTGAGTGGCAGAATGGAGGCATAGCTAGAGAATGAGGCAAAGGGTAGGGCGAGAGGAGCCCTGAAGGAAAGAAAACGTCACATGGCTAAGGAGCTGGGAGGTGAAACACCTCAGCCCCTCTGTCCCTTCTCCAAGAAGTCTGACATATCTTGTCATCAAGGACATTCAAGTAGACATGCGAGCAAGTCTGTCCTAGAACCCAATGGTGCAACATCCTCAGGAAGTTTGGACAAGTGGGTTCTCCAAAGTTTGCCCAATCCTCCTCACAGCACCCACACTCAAATCTACCCCCCAAAACCTGACCGACAGGCGTACAGGTGGGTGGCCATGTAAGTTAGCACCCGAACCAGGAGGTTTTCAAGGAGAAAGGGCACGACTGCAGACTGTTGACCACACGAGGACCACCGGCGCTCACTGGGCCTGCCCAGGGCACAGGTGGCACGGCGTGGAGCAGGGAAGGAGGAAGTACGTCGGGAGGCACCGCTGCCACTGAGCATAAAGACACTCGGAAAATAGGGTGATGGAAACATCTAAGTTGCACAATTCACAGACAGTAGGGTGACAGGCACATCTAAGCTGCATGATTCACTTTAAAGAATGCTTTAATTTCATGCTTTGAAACCCAAGTACCCTGGAAAGGAGGAGGGAGTTTGTTTCCATGGTAGACACACTCGCCCATTTCCTATTTTTTGAAGATCTAAAAGGTTAGACTTAGTGCCGTTCACACCCTGCTTGCTCTTTAGGGCTCTTTTTAATCACGAATGGCATGCAGCTATTTCTTTCCTAACTTTAGGGGTGCTTGGAAAACCTTTTTTGCAGAATTGCTCGCAGTCATTTTCCAGTGTTGTTGCTTTGGGGTTTTAGAAATGTTAAAATAACAGAGGCCAGCACAGTTCTCAGGGGAACACAGAGCCATTCTGAGGGAAAATGCAAAACCAAGTTTGATGATACAGTTTTTATTCAAAAGGTTATGACAATTATACACTAAGTGTAAGTATATATTTAAGTTGTTAAAATTACAAAAAGGTCTACTTGTGAGCGGGACTTTTGGAACTCAGAATATGGCTCACCATTGGAACAATGCGGAAGGATCTCAGGCTGGCCTACTGCAGTTCCAACTCACAGCAGGAACAGAACTGGGCTTGGGGGCACGTGGCCCAGGAGGAAACAGCCATTTTTTCCCTTTGTCTAAGGGTGGCATAGGTAAAATCACCTTCTGGCATTCCCCTATCTTCTGGAGTCTCCTTCCCACGTCTGAGGCATCCTGTGCTTCTTCCCAGGCCTCCATCAAGACCAGCTTCCACATTACTCCCCACCCCTCCCAGCCTAAACTTGTGTCACTTGGAGCAGCCCAGCTCAGCCAAACAGTCCTGCTGATCTAAGCCACAGTAAGGAGTGTGTGACTGATAAGCCCATGACAAATGCTGCTTAGTTACTGGAGGACTCTCTAACTTGCTTAATTTTAGGCTACAGTGCAGTATACCGGAAACCTTCACGAAGCAGAGAGAGGATTAGGGGGAGGGTGGGGATGATATAGGCAGATAAACCTTGTCCAGGACTAACTTCAGGGCAGCCTCCTGAGCTATTTTTGCTTCAAGCTTCTAAGAGGAACGGGGTGACTTTTGTTTGGATTTTCTTTGTATGACAACAGTCCCCATGGCAGTGACAGTGGAAGGCTGAGGATGAGGGAAGAAGGACAGCATCAGGCTGCTGAGACAGGGACAGTGAGAAGCATTTGCCTACCTGCGTCCTTTGAGAGTCATCACTTACATAGACATAACAGGCTCGCTACTGGGACTGTTCTCCCTGGAGGTGGAGATGCATGAGTATGAGACAGATACGGAGGCGGAGAAAGGCAGAGAGACAGGATGTATTAGTTGCTTTGATGACAGTGTCTGAACTATGGACAATCCCTTAAAACTCTGTGCTGTAACTTGGCCATGGATAAACTCACCTTGCTACATGATGTCTCCCAAAATGAGCATGAATCCCATGAATCTGCAGGTTACACACACTGCTGAGAAGGTAAAGATACTGACACACAGACAGGACCGCCATATAAATGGAGGGCACAGGCAGGGCCTTCATACCAATTTTCTAAAAAGAACTGACTCCCATGTGATCACATCTCTCAAACAAAAAAATAGTCACTTATACCAAGAACCTCACCTTTTTACCTGATGCCTGAAAAATCTTAATTAAGGTGCCTGATCTTCGGTCAGCTCTAAAAATATAAACCTGTGGAAGGAAAAAAAAATTTAGTTAGAATGGAAACAATGACCAATGACATTGATCAGCACCGTCTTGGGAGACCTATTTAAAGGCCAGGCACACGGCAGGTGTGTTTACGCTGGCTGATGATAACGAGGAGATCAGCATAGCTCTCTTCCTACCAATCTTGCAAAAAAAAAAATGTCCTTCAATCCTGAGGCAGAAATCACTTTCATTGCTCCTGAACCATGGGGTTTATAGAAGCCATGCACAATAAGACCCAGGAGCTTCCAAATTACTAGTAAATAATCCAATTCTCAGAGAAGTGTATTTTCTTCCTTGAAATATTTCCTTCACTACTATCAGTTAGAGCTTTAACAGGTATCACAACATAAGAAAAAGGGATGGAGGTGAGAATTGAAGGCAAAGCAGTTTCCCAAAGTGATTCCACATAATATTAGAGCCATGGGCTCTGCTTAGGTAAATATAAATGGTTTGAAAAATGTAGATTTAAACATCACATAAATTCCTTTATTGTGGAACTTTTCAGAGCCTTTAAGCATGTACATTTAAACCGTGAATCACCGCTGCGAAGATAATCATTGCCATTTAACTCCCATTTAACTCATATACTTGACTATGGACATTTTTTTTTTCAAGTAACATCTTATGGGAAGAGTGTCTCAAAAGAACCAGGGCAGATGATCCTCACATGGGATAACTAACTACAATCTTAGTGTGAACGCCTTTGTGCCCTGACAACAGAAATGAATAACCACCAAAATCCTAAAGGCGAGAAGTCCATTCTGGGGTCCTTGGGAATCGAGTCTGTACCAGCCCCAGTCCCTGGGAATGCGGAATAGTCACAACTTTGTCAACTATAACCAGTTTTCCCAGCACGTCTCAGGTGGTCAACCCAAAGAAGCATGTCTATGTTCTTTCTGTGTTCACTGGATCCAGGATTCCTGCTGTCTGGCTCTATCAGTTATAAATACCATTCTCGTCTTAAAGCTTGTCAGGGACTATGCAGCCATCACAATCATCTGAAGGAAAACAATTAAATTGGATCAAGTGTTTCTGCAATTAGTGAGAAAAGAAAGCTGTTATCAGCACAGAGGCATCCGGGTCACAGTGAGCTGGGGGTAAGCATTTTTACCAACCCTGCAGAGATGCCAGGTAGCCTGCAGCTCCTCCCCCATGACTCCATCAGTGTGGTGACAGCTCTTGGTGATTTTCCCTCCACCACGTTGAGAAATTCACGTGACTCAGAAAGACCCTCTTCTTTCCTGAGGTTACCAAAGGTCATCTGCATGCCCTCTCCTTCCTCCTGCTTGGGGTCCTGGTTTATCTGGTTTCATTTTCAAAGAATCTTTCTCTGCAGCATCAGTATTAGGGAGGAGGGAGGCGCATGCTCCAGAGATGTGAGCAGCAGCTCCTACCTAACCTCTGCCCAGGAGGATACACAGAAATAACCCTAATGAACACATCTGAGTCAAGCTTAGGCAGCTGCGTGGTTTATTAGCTCCCTGATCTAACATGCTGGCTGAAGGCTCCAATGACCAGTGGTCTAGCCCATTTGGAACAATAGAGAATCCCAACCTCAATTCTCTAAGCCCCGGGAGATATGGCCAGACTCTATCACAGGTCCACCCCAGGGGCTCAAATCTAAAGTTTATTCCTCCATTCAGTCTTTTCCATCAGACAATGTAAGGAGCTTGTTAAAAATGCAGATTCCTGACCAGTGTGGACCTACTCAATCTGGATTGCCTATACCTTGAAGCTAAAGAACCAAGAAGCATAGTTCTACATAATTCAGGACCCTTGGAGGCCATGACTCCAAAAGGGACTGAGACAGCTCTAGATCCATGGGGTCTTTTAGGGAAGCTAGACTCACATATTCCTAGTCTAGCCTTTGGACTGAACCAGTCTTGGGAACCCAGTGTTCTTTCTAAAACATTGGGGAAATAAATATGAGAAAAATTTAGGGCATAAATAAAGCCCCAAAGATATCAGGGACTAGATCTGGCTCCATTAAGTCAAAGCCAAACTTGGAAAGGGTTTGCAAGGGTGGGGACTGGAAGGTGGACAGCACTGGATGCCATTCCTTTGGAGGGCACCATGATGCCAGGGGTCAGTCTTGTAAATCACACACATAGAGTCAGCCATGAAGAACCTTGGATAAGAATGTGCAGGAAACAGAGAATGTGAATAGCATTCACACTGACTGAGCTTTCAAGGGAAACCCTCAAATCGAAGGGAGCTATGAGGGTTCCTCGCTACTTCATCACTTACCCGCCAGCCACCCAGGAGCAGGCTCAGGTCAAAGTCAGCTGGCAAACCTCTACAACAGGGGCAGCAGGCTCCCCTCTTCTACCTGACCCACGCTATTCCACAGACTTTTCCTCTCACCTTTCCGATGCCTTCATCCTGTGGGGCGCCTCCTACCACGTCAGTGGTGGACGAGTGAGAGAAATGGCCAGCAGTCACTGCGTAGCCTAAACAGGATGGGCAGGAAACAAGGACAGGGTTGGGAAAGAAGAGCAGGGAAGTAAAATATCCATCAGAGGAAAAAGTTTCTCAAGCCCATCCCCTATCTGGACAGCTATGTTCCAGTTATTCTTAGAACATAAATTAACAGGGAACAATGGCAGCTGTCAGTCTTATGCTGGAATGGCTCATGTCACAAAAAGGCATGTTCACAAGGACATCAGCGCAGGAGAGAGTGCTTTCTGAGTGTCCTCTTAGGACAGTACTGTGCTAAATACTATATATCTGTTTTTTCTTTTCAAGGTGTAATTTTCATACAGTTAAGTACATATATCTGATGTGCAGAAATTAATGAATGTGGGCCGGGCGCAGTGGCTCACGCCTATAATCCTAGCTCTCTGGGACACTGAGGTGGGCGGATTGTTTGAGCTCAGGAGTTCAAAACCAGCCTGAGCAAGAGCGAGACCCCATCTCTACTAAAATTAGAAAGAAATTAATTGGACAACTAAAAATATATAGAAAAAATTAGTCGGGCATGGTGGCGCATGCCTGTAGTCCCAGCTACTAGGAGGCTGAGGCAGGAGGATCGCTTGATCCCAGGAGTTTGAGGTTGCTGTGAGCTAGGATGACGCCACAGCACTCTAGCCTGGGCAACACAGTGAGACTCTGTCTCAAAAAAAAAAAAAAAGAAATTAATGAATGTGTACACAAGTGCATAACCATGCAACCACACCCAGATCAAGAAAGTGAATATAACTATAGCACCATCACCCCAGAAGGTTCCCTCATCCTCTTTCCCAGTCAACATCCCCATGCAAGTAGCCACTATTCTGATTTCTGTCACTACATATTAGGTTTCCCTTTTCTAGAACTTCACTCAGCATCACATCTGTGGCATTCACCTATGTTGTTGAGTATAGTAGTAGTAGTTTCTTTTTATTGTTGGGGAATGTTCCATTGTATAAATGTATCATCTTTATTTATTCTCTGTTATACTGGGCATTTGGGTTGTTTCCAGTTTGGAGCAATTATGAATAAAGTTGCTATGAACATTCTTATATGTCTTTAAGTACCATTATCTCTTTTAATCTAACAACTCTGTGAAGAAGGTATAATTGTTCCATTTTACAGATATGACAATAGACAAAACATAGTTAAACTACATGTCAAAGATTACACAGCAAGATTCAAATTCAATCTGTCCGCGAAGCCCCCTCAATTAACCATTATATCATATTCCCCCTAAGAGAAGGTAAAAGAAGCTGTCCTGGATGGATGGTCAAAGAATCTGGATGCAAAAGAAACAAAGGAAAGGGTGTCTGAGCTTAGTCTAAATGTCTCGTGTTTTTTGGGAGCCTTGCTGGCAAGGCTGGAAGCTCCCCTCTGGCCAGCATAAACCCTGCCCGGGCTGCCGCATATTCTCAAAACTTGTCATCACCCTCAAACCCTAATGCTGTGATTATAAGCTGTTTGAGTTTTGTGATGACACCATATCATGATCAATTCTTGTTCACCATGTGGCTGATTTCTTCAGACTGGGGGCTCACATTACTGAAGCATAGTATGAGTAATATCAAATCCTGAACTGATCCTCGCTAATCCCTACAGCAGATAAGGGCCTCTGTTCCATATACAGAGAGAAGCCACAGGCCCTAACGTTGAAAGGACCTGTGCTAGACTCTGAAGCCACCATGCAAACCAGGCTTTCTGCTGCCTTCTCTTGGTTCTCTGATTCAATGAACCTGTGTTGAGTTCCTACCATACACCAGAGACTATATAAAGTCCTAGAAATGTGAGACAATGTCCCCACCTTCAAGGTGCTCCCAGTATAGTGAAGGGTATAGCACCAGTGACAGGTGCTGTTTCAGTAGCACACACAGGGGAGGCAGCTCAGCATTTAGGCTACACTCAGAAACCACGGGTTTATGCTCCAACTTTGCTACTTAGGAGCCATTTGACCTTGGCAAGTTGTGTAACTTCTTTGTACCTCAGTTTCATTAACTATAAAATTTGGATAATATTATAATAATAATAGCTACCTCATAAGGTTGTTTCAGGAACTAAAAGAAATAATACACAGAGCCCGGCAGGGTAAATGATTAAAAGATGACAGCATTAAGGAGCTGGCGAGTACAGGAGCAAACGCCCCAAGAGACCCAGAGTAGAAGGATTACTGGGTCCATGCTACTGGGCAAAAAACTTGTAGTTAGATGGGAAAAGGCAAGTCAACGACTCCCTACTGCCATGTGACAAGAAATTCCCAGTAACTCTCTATGCAAAAAGGAGGTCAGGGATGTCCCCTAATTTAAGTTATGTAATGAGTGTGAAAGAGCATTGTTTTGTCATCATGAGGCCTAAATTTAGCTTCATTTTCAGTCCAGAATTATAGCATTTAGGGCATGGATTAAAGAAAAGAGCCTTGTCATTATCATCTGCACAAGCAAAGACAGCCTCTGTTCCTAAATGAGCATGGCCTTATCCTGGTATCGTGCTTGCCTCATGGCTGCTAAATTAGATTGTGTCTATCTTCCTTCTAGAAGATGAAGGGGGTTGGGAAAATAAGAGAAATTGTTCTGAGCCCTTAATTAAACTTCAGTGTTAGGTTGTCATCTGTCATGATAATTTCTGGTCCTTATAATTTCTATTTGCAACCAGTTTTGTAACCAGGAAGCAGAGACTCCATCCAGAGGGAAGCCCTGGAAAACCGGGATTCTATTACATTCATTTGGTACTGACCATCTGAACTTGAGTAATTGCTATAACAAGAAAATAAAACGTTTGCTTCCCTGGAGGCTTAACCGTCAGCTTTTTAATTAAATCACAGAGTTTTAACTCAGTTCCCTCCTTTGTTCTCCTGTGTACCTTCTGTATGAGGAGCTAGACGTTAAGGTGCCCTGGCTAAAGACGTATAGAATTACAATAACAGACGTAAAAGACAACGACATCTTCTTTCCACCAATAAAGCAATAATTCGTGAGCTTGGTGGGAATCCTGCCCATTTCCCCTCTCTTACCTGCCGTCTCCCTGAGCTACTCACCCAGGTAGGTGTACCGCCTGCTCATGATCGTGTCATCATTCAGTTTAAAATAGGCGTTGTCCGTAAGGTTCAGCACTTTGACCGTCCCAGCCCAATAAAATGACCCCGGGGCGCCCATCACCACCAGCTCCTACAGTAAAGAAATCCAAGGTAAACAGGGAAGGAAGCAGGGGAGGGGAAGCAGGGTGTGTTGAGAACCACAGTCACAACAAAAGAAAACTCAGAATTAAATTTAAAATACCTCACACCAAGGGCTTTTTTCAGCTAAGTAATAAAAATATATTTCACCAGATTCCCTAGCATTAAGGAATCTATTATATGGATGGGATGATCAGAACTAAAGACACAAAGATGGCCAAGCAAGGGAACAGAATGGGAGACAGGCCAGGCCCCTATCCTATCCACAATTACGCCGCACTCCTTTCCTCAGCTTTACACCAGGATCAAACAAGCAAACAGCAAACTACTGACACTGTGTCCTGAACCACAGGTTCCAGGAAACAACACTCGTGGAAAGGCAGCACTACCTCACCTAGCCTGGACTCCAGCCCCACTCTCCAGCAACTCCTCCACCTGACACACAGCAAGAGGAAAACGGTGATCAAGATCAGCTTTGCAAAACCTGTGCACTCATATTCCAGCCAAATCCCCTCCAGTCCTCACTCAAGACCCTCTTCTGAGGAGTGGTTCTACAGCCACTCCAGCCCACTGCAGATGTGAAAGAATGAAACCAAGAGACCAGAGACCCCAACCCAGGAAGGACATAAACTGCAAGGAGAAGAGACCACAGGTAGAAAGAGACAGTAGTACTATTAAACACAGACTCCAAGAACACAAAAGGCACAGCTGTCTTCAGCATTAGATTGGGGGAAACAGTCAACAAGCCTGAGAGCACACTTGCGCCACAAAACCATCAAATGACCATCGCTGATGATAATCCTAAGTGCCCAAAAATGATTCGGTTACCTAAGGAAGTCAGCACGGATATCTGCATGATTTCACCTACAAGAATATGTATCATAACTATACTAAGAGAAGTTGTAAACAGCCCAAACACCTAACAATAGGAACTCTAAATTATGGTGCATTCATTCAAGAGAATTCCATGCAGCATTAAAAGCACTGTGGAAGATCTAATGGCACTGAAAGATAGTTGCAAAGTGCTGGTGAGTTAAAAAGCATATGCCAAACAATATGTATGCTATGATCATGTTTTGTGTTAAAAAAAAAAAAAATAAAACCCAAAAACAAAACAAAAACACACACATGTACAGACAGACAAGCAACAGACAGGACCAGGAGGATAAGCTCCAAAACATTTACGGTTTTTTCCACTAGGTGATAAGATTATTGGACTCAATCTTTCTCCCTCCTTCTCATCCCCAAAGCTAATTTTCTTTGAATTTTTCAAAATTCTAGAATAGACTGTTTTCCAAGAGCACCAGGCTCAGGTAAAATTCAACACCGCCAACTCTCTCAGCCACATCTGGCCCCTCTCCTGCCACTGCCCCTCAGACTGCATGGCTGGGACCCTCCAAACTAATTCTGGTTTTCTAAGCAATTCTGCTCTTTTTGTCTCCATCCCCACGATGCCCTCACACTTCCTCTGCTTGGGTAACCTTTCTCAATTCTTCAAAACCCTGTTGAAATGTGGGTAAATCTTAGACAAAACATTGATGAAAAAACAAAAAAAAGAGTACATATTACAAGTCCACTCATATGAAGTTCTGGAATCAACAAAACCAACCTACTGTGACAGAAGTCCCATCAGTGGTTACCTGGAGGGAAGAAGGGGGCTCTGTCTGCAAAGGGGCATGAGGGACTTTCTGGAGTGATGGGAATGTTCTAATCTTCATCCAGGTGGGGATGTATGGTGTACACATTTGTCAAAACTCACTGAACTCTGCATTTAAAACAGTGCGTTTTGTTGTATTTATTGAATGTAATAAACTTTGATTTTTAAAAATTCTATAACAGTGAGTAAACACTGACAAGGAAGTCATCTCACAAAAACACAAAACGTGCTTGTGAGATGACATTTTGCAAGCATTAAAATGAAGCACCACTGTGCGGATGCCACGCCGCGGTGAGGGGAAGGCGGGCAGTCCTCGCATCCATCGCATGGCCCTGGCCTTCCGTCCTTCCTTCCCCAACAGGGAATCCCTTCTTTTTGATTACTGATATTTCCTAAAGTGTCTACACTGCAGTAAGAAATAATCAAAATTATTTTGCTAATAAAATCATTAATTTTTCACTCAATAATATTTATTAAGCACCTACTATTATATATCAGAGTTCATGCTGGATAAAAAGATAAAGTCCCTTTGTACAACATTCTTGGGGCGAGACAACAAGGAAATGTGCAAGGTCTTTTTAAAAAATTCTATCCAAAAGGGTTAAAATCAATACAATTTCTAGAGGAAACCCTTCCGCTGTGGACAACACCCCAAAGACACAGGCCATGCAGGCTCACAGAGATAATGGACACTGGACAGGTCATGCCTCTTGCTGCTGAAACCCACAAAACCTTCCCCCGGCCCTTCGGAGTCCCCAGCACTGGCATGTATTTCAGAAGCAGATCTTCCCAGGCTGGTCTCTCTCTGCAGAGCTTACCCCACACTCGGTCAGAAGCTGCTAGGTTCTGACAAGTCCCTAGAGGGTAGATCCTGCCATAAAGATTCTGAGTTTCTGATGACAATTCATAAAGTCACCGCTGAATTCTTATGGCACAAGTGTCTGCAAAAGCCAGAAACATCTAAAGAAAAAATTAGAGGACAGAGCCTGCAGGCAAGAGGGTAATGCTTTGAATAACATACATTCTATGGTCAATTTGGGGAAGAAGCTTAACAAAGAGGAGTTATGAGCACAGATGGAAGAAAAGCCACTAGATTCAGGTCTGAATGGTTTCCTTTTGGTAATTCAGGAAGATTCCAGCCAGAAATGACTGTTGAGGAACTCTTCGTTGTAAGGTTCTGAGAGCCTATTCCCCTCGAAGGAAACTGCTGAAGGTAAGCCAGATGCCCTCAGAGGTATCTCACTGTTCTATAAAAATAGATCACTTTCTGCACTCAGGATTCACCACCGGGAAAACACAGTGGTGCATTCATTCATTCATTCATTCTCTTCATACTCATCTGTTCTGCTTGCGGGACTGTGCTAGCTCTAGAAAGGGTGTGAGAAACACAAATGATCAGTTCACCAAAGGAGAGAGACTTTTTCCTGGTCTTGAGCTTAGAAAGGAATTTGTAGTCAGCGTCCAAGTACAAAGGGCACCGAAGAACATGATGAGCGCTATCCTCAGTCTCAGTTGTTTACACAGCATAGAGCCTTCTCCATCTGCAGCTTTTTATAATTCAGAGCTCCAAGCATCAGTACAGGCCTGTGAAGGCTCTTCAGGAAACCAGGCAGCGGTCACATTGCTTTCTGATGATTTAGATTAACCCACTGCTAACACACTGCTGTATCCCCTTCTCAAACATTACCAAGAGGGTAGGACAAAGTAATCCCTCTCCTCAAAAACCTTGAAAGCCGATAGCTGTTAAAAGCCAGTATTTTCCCCTCTCCTCCTAGTGCTTACCCCCTCCCCATTCGGTCCAAACTAAACATCACGGGGCCAAGCCTGCAGCTCTCTGGGCTGGGGTGGGAGGTGAGGACAGTGTCTTCCTGGAAATCCCTTGTATTTGGCTTTTTCTGTTCACCACGGATGATACTTGTGTCCTTTCTGGTATTGTTCACAAGTGCCAGGAAAACGTGATCAATGCTTAGCTCCCCACGACCCAGGAACAGCCGATGCAAATGTCACACATAAGAACAAAAGGTTCCCTGCTAGCAAAGGCTACCACTACCTAAACCACACTCCTGGAATCCCATCAGTTAACAGCAGTGCGGGCCTTTTCCCAAGACGCATTTATTAGCAGACTCTCCAGAGGTACAGGGGCACCTGGGTGTGCCTGAGAGACGCCACGGGCTTCCTCTGCACACTGTGAGGGGGCACGAACAGGAGGGCAGAATGCTCGGGACCTATGATAGAAGTCTGTGCTGAACAAACTGTCATCCTCACGTCTCCAGCCTTCCACAGCAGTGCTCGAATGCTGGTCCAACTCCTCTCTTGCTACTTAGAAGTATCCCTCACCTCTGTTAGCCTAGTCTACAAAAATAAAGTTCCCAGAAAATTCTCCCTTATCCTCAATGACAGGCTAAAACTCAGATGGCATCCATAACTCAGAGAGCTTTGATAAGCTTAGGGTCACTGACCTGCAGGTCAAGTAAGCACCTTGGGACAGAACATTTCAGGACAACATGGCCACATCCAGAAGGCCACAGAAGCACATCCAGCTTAGGAAGCAGCTGTGTGCCCTGTGAGGGGACAGACCAGCTCACAGCAAAGGCAAGCCCAAGTGACGAGGTCAGCAGGAGGGCAGAGGAGGGGAGCAGTGCCTGCCTGACCCCTTCAACCACATTTCCTGCTCAGCCACAAACAGCTGAAGTTCCAGAAACAAGGGAGACAGTGAGTTCAAAGACCTCGGCTTTAAGGAGGCCAAAAGCCTGGGAACCAAAGCTGACGCCAAAGCCCAAACTGGTCAGGAGACAGCAGGCTGGGGTCAAGGACTGAGCGGCGGCCGGCAGGGCTGCCTTCCCACTAGGGGCCACCCACCCCTCCCCCGCCAGTCTGTACACCCACCGCGTCCCCACTGTTGTGCACTGAGAGCCCAGCCAGCACATGCAGAGGTGTTATGGTTCCCTTAGGCTCTGCATCCCAGAGTCTGGAGTTTCAACAGATGCTCTGGTTCCTCATCACCCTGAGCTTGCAAGGCCACATGGACACACCCCGGCCCATGCCCCTGCCCTGCCTCCTACTTCCCCTCCTTCCACCCTGCCCCACTGCCTTTGTCTTCCATGACTAGCCAGCTGGTGGGACCATAATGACACCTCCCTCCTGGGAACTCTTTCGCTCCCTTAGTTCTCCACCATCATCTCTGGTGAGCTCTGATTTCTGCAATGAACCTACCTTCTCCTCCCATCTAAAGGGAGGCATCTCCCCCAAGCCCCATGCTAAGCATGCTCACCCCCTCAGAGAGTTACTAGCAAGGGCCAAATCTAAGTTTCTAACTCAGGCTGGGTTCCAGTCCCTATGTCCAAATATCTCCAATATACATCGTTAAGCATGTCCCAGCACTGCACACTCCACGTGTCTAAAAGCAGACCCAGCGTTTATCTCTCCCAGTGGGTCCTTTCTCAGTAACCTCTTTTCACCAGGGGTACCACCATTCTCCAGAAATCTGGCTCAAAACCTCCTTCCTCTACCCTACAGTGCTCTGACCATCCAGCCCCTTGACACCTCCTTCATGTTCTCTGACTCTCCGTATCATTTTTATTCCTAAAGCATAACCCCCTAGTCTGTCCTGTTGCACCACAGCTGGCCCACATCACACCCTCCCTTCTGGCCTCCCTCCAGGCCCTTCCAATTCCAAAGTCCTGGGCATGGCCAACCCGAACACCCATTATTACAACACTGCCATGCACCAGGTGCGTCACCTGCTTGTGAACTTACAGTGGTTCCCCATTGCTTGTTGGCTCAAGTCAGACGTCACTAGACCTACTGGAGGAACAACAGCTACAGCAATTAAACAGTCTAAATCCTAACTGAGATGGAAGAGAGTGAAGTTAGCCTACGGCAGGGTGGCATTTCAGATCAATGGGGATAGGAAAAAGTATTTACAAACTAGAATCAGAACAATCAGCTATGCATTTAGGAAAAAATGCAATTAGTTTCTACCATATAATGTATATAAAAATAAATTTCAGAAGGATTAAAGATGGAAATCTTTTTCTAAAGAAAACCTATGAAAGTACTAGAAAAAATACAGGTGGATATTTTCATATTCTTAGAGAGGAGATAATCTTCCCAAGAGAGAGGTCTAGAATCCAGAAAGAAAAATACTGATGGATTCTACCAAACACGAATGTTTAGTGCCAATATAATAAAGGTACCACAGGCAAACTTAAAAAAAAAAAAGGCTGATGAAAAAAAATTTGCAACACATATAACAGATAAGAGATTAGTGTTGAAAATATGTAACAAGTTCCTAAAAACCAGTAAAACACCAAAAAAACAAAATAATGGACAAAGAACATAAAGAGGCAATTTCCAGAAAATTAAATACAAATGGTCAATATTTCAAAAAGATATTAAACTACACTAATAATCAGGGAAAGAGACATTAAAATAAAATAAGAGAGTTTTTTTAATGATAAAAATTTAAAGGTCGGTGAGAGAATGCAGGCGCAGATGCAACCCAGGGGAGTACCAATTAGTAAACATTTTGAAGTGCAGTTTGCCAGCATGTATCAAAATTCAAATTTTGAGTACCTTTTGACCAAGCAATTCTTCTCCTACCTGTCTCTTCTAAAGAAGCCTGCACTTGTGCACCAAGAGCAGTGTGTGGATCTCCAGCATGGTGCAGCCGGCATGAGCTTGGCATGCTCTAGCAGCTGCCGAAAGTACCATGTGGTAGAGGAAGATGGAATGGTAGGAAGGCCTGGGAGGGCGTGGGAAGGCGTGTGGATTTCATTATGGGTGGGAAGGCACCGGAAAGTTCTGAACAAAGGAGTACCATGACATTTTTCTCACTTGGAAAAGACAGTTCAGGCTGCTGTGCGGGGACCAGTCTGTCCGGAGGCAGGAGTGGAAACAGGCAAAGGGGAGGGTTCTGTGTGGCTGGGGGCAAGGCAACCGTGGCTCAGATCTGTGGGGTGGCAGAGGATGTGGAAGGAAATGAGCATCTTTGTTAGGGGTTTTGAGGGCACAGGAGGTGGGACTTGCTGGTGGCTTGGACGTAGGAGAGTGAGGTAAGAAAAGAATCTTAATTTTGGCCTCAACAACTAGGACGGGGGTGGGGGCATCACAGGGCCTAGCATGGAGTGTGTGTAGAGCGCGCTGCCGTAAAGTGATTCTCCAGTGAAGGGACATAATAAGAATCACGACGGTGAGGGATGGGGTTAGGAGGGATGCATCTCCTATTTATCAGTTTGAGAGTGAAGGATAATAAAACTTCGGCCTTTCTACCTTCCCTTTTTTGCTTTCTAGATTAGACACTATATTGCCAACTGCCTGTTTTTTCTTTGAATTTAAATAGCCGCCACTGACATGGAGGTGGGCAGTTCCGCTCCTGCCCCGGGAGGGGCGCTCTTCAGCAGGCTCTGCACACGGGTGCACCCTCCGCCTCCCCCAGCTCTGCGGTCCCGGGGTGGGCTCAGGGAGTCCGACCTGTGGGCCAAGGCACAGGGTCCGGATTATAATCCTCCATGTAATGGGAAGCCTTGAGTCAGAATGACGGATTGCATTCTGAAAGACTACTCAGGCTGGCAAGCAGGAACACATGGTAGGGGTCAAGAATGGACGCAGTTTGGGGTGCTGGGAATGTTCTAAAATGAGACAGTGATGACGGCTGCACAACACTGTGAATGTACGTATAAAGCGCCCCTGCACTGCATGCTTTAAGATGGTTAAAATGGTGAATTTTATGTTATGTATATTTTACCACAATAAAAAAAATAATGGATTTAGGGAGACCAATTTGGGGCCAGTGTATCTCCAGGTAATGATGGTGGCTTTTCCAGAAGCATGGTGGAGATAACAGAGGTGATGGTAATAAAAGCTGTCATATTTGGGATATGTTTTGGAGGTTGAAACAATAGGATTGCAGATGAATTAGAAGTGAAGTAAAAAGTACTTTTTTTTGGCCTGAGCAACCCAGATGGATGATGGTGCCACTTACAGAGCCTCTCGTGGAACTCTGTGCGTGGAAGGTGTCATGAAAATGTCTAAGAAATGAAGTTGACATGCAGGGCAAACTTGTAGGAGGTGAGAATCCCACAAGGCAGCAGTACCTAAAACGTGCTGCCAGCCAATGGTCCTGCTACTCCTGTACAGACACATGAGCTTCAAGTGTACGGTCCCTCAGAATTCGGGAAAGGGAATGGTCAGAGCCATGCATAAAACAAAGTCTCTCCACTAAAGAGAGAGGGTCGCTATGAGGTGATGCTCACATCGACGAGGTTTGTCTTCACAACCACCAACGAGGCACAACTTGACTGAATGCTGCCTCACTCACACCCCTTGAATTGACTCCTTCCACGTGTCTGAGTCAAGCTGACTCCTATAAAAATCATCAAATGGGTGTGTCCCCCAAATGAGCCAGCCCACCTCCCTCTGCCCAGGGGTCCCTGGCCAGCTGGTCCCCCCCACCACCAGATTTAAATAACCTTCCCTGATGTGAGGACCATAATCTATTAACTCACAGCTCAAGTATCTGGGACACGAGAAGTCTCACCTCAGAGAAGTGCCAAATCATGGTAAGCAACAAAATGAACACCAAAAAGAGAACAGAAAGGCCCAGGCAGCCGACACCCACCTCGGTGAAGAAGCCTGCTATCCCAGCCTGGCAGGAGCCATGTTCCTCTCCGTACTTCTTCTTATACTCTAGAGGGCAAGGAAGGAAAGAGAAGCAAACCACAGCCGTGTCAGTGCGTGCCAGTCGAGTGTGGAGCCAGCAGAGCAAGCCGGCCACTTCCCCTGAGTGCCACTGCGGGCTGGGCCCAGGGACGCCATCCAGATGGGGGTGAGGAAGGAAAGTCTCAGGAATCCACCCAACCTCAAAAATCCAGGCTCCGGAGCTGCCAGGTAGCGAGGCTGCCAAGTGCCCCAGCGGACTCCCTCCACTCACGTGGGGAAAAAAGGGCAGCAGCCACAGTCATTACGTGGGAGGCTGTCAACAATTATTTCATTTACCGCAGAAAGGACGGAGATCCCTGGTAGGCACAAGGAGCTGAGAACATGACCTAGAAATGGAATGATGTGGCCCTCCCAGTGTGGAGTTCCCTGGAAGATGACCAGCTCTCCCCAAAAGACACTCAGTACAGCTGGAGGCAATATGCTTTCTACCATGCAACGGGAAACAAGCCGTCCACCCAAGGGCGGCAGGAAGAGGGGGCTCTCTGGACTTGCCACAGCATGTGGTTACACTATCGCTGGTGATATATGCAGTTACACTCTGCACTCACAGCTCTGTCTTCCTTGTGAGGAAGGAAAAGGGGACGTTCTCTCCAGGTCAAAAGAAAACTAATGGATAAGCTCTTCTTCTTCCTCAGTTTCCAACACTCCTACCCAACAAATGGGGGCATCCTGTTGCTGCAGTCTTAAGTTGTCAAGGAAGAGAGGGAGGAAACTCTTGATGAGTGTTTAGCATGCTCCAAGCACTGCATCAGCTGCCTCCACTCACACCATTTCACTGATCCCTCATCCCCAGGACCCGAATCCCCATTTGTTAACAAGTAAGAATACTGAAGCTCAGAGAGGTTAAGTGAATTATCCAAGGTCACACAGCTAGTAGAGGGCAAAGCTAGGGTTCTACTTAAGCTTGGGCTTGGAAACACTTTCTTTCACCTCTGTGGCCTATCAAAGGTTTTATAAAGTGAGTGATTACACAAAGCCCAGGGAAGTGACAGGCTGTTTGAAATCATTTAATGGGTAAAGACAAGGAGGTGGAGTGACAATCAGAGTGACTCAAATTAATCATACGAGAAACTGACATTGCTGGCCATGGTCTTACAGGCTGCCCCAGGTACCCTCAGACTAGGACTACCCAACAGATAACCCAGTGACCCCTGTCCCACCCCCTGGGCTCTTGGCAAGCCTCTGGTACCATTAAAAGCAATATAATTATTTTTGAAACAGAAAATAAATAATACAAAGGAACAATGAAACTGTGATTGCAACACAGTCCCACATCCTGCAGCTCAGAGCGTCTACTCCAGGAGAAGGGGGAAAAGGGCCCTGGGGAAATATACAGAGTAATTCAGTTTCTAACAACACTCACCGCAGAGCCTAGTAACATTTTCCAGTAAGTGGCCATTAACCGACTGCTGAATTACAACAGAATGTCAATTGAGTTACTCCTCTTCCACGCAGGGTGAAATCAGTTCCTCCTGCCTTGTCCCGTTACTATAAGGAGAACCCCCAGGCCTGCTAGAAAGCAATTCAGTGACAAATGGAACTTGCTTGTTCCCAGCAAAATCTTGCACCCGGGCTGGGAGTGAGGCTTGTGCATAGTAATAAATCCTGCATGGAATAGCACAATGGCAAGAAGGATCAAAATGTCCCAACCTAAACAGTTACATATTAAATCTGAAAAGTCTGGCAAAAGCATATCCACCGCGCTGACTCTAGGGGTTAAACACCCAATTGTAACTCTTGAAAAATGAAATATACAAAGGACATTCAGATCTCCAAGAGCTGAATGAAACTCCAGTGCGGGACACACCAATTCAACTTCAGAAATTTATGACATGAGTAGGAATTATGTGGGAATCTTTCATCTTTTAAAGCAGTTTCAAGGTCTCTTGATGACAAGTATGCAAAAAAAAAAAAAAAAGGTAGATGTGTGAACTTCAGTGCCTTTCTCAACCTCCTTCCCAAACCGTGGCATGCTCTGTGCTGGGAGCAGGACTCAGGGTTTCTGAGGTGGCCATGGCCTTTTTGGGAGTTGGGAGCACCCCGCTCTTGGCCAAGGCTGAAGGACAGCAAGGGAAGTCCCCCTGCCTGCCTCAGCCAGCCCCCACCTCCCTAAGCTGGGACTGCCCCATCAGTGGTCAGAGGGCCTGGGACACACATGGATGCAGGTACCTCCACTGGCTTTGATGTTTCTGAAACCCCAGGGTCTAACCTGCTTCTCTAACTTACTCTAGGGCAAGGAATCCAACAACGTGGGGCCCCTGACTGGGACCCAAAAGCCACAACTCCTGGTTAGAAAGCCGGCCATTCCAGCCTCCCAGAAACTTCTGTGGCTCTGTCTTTAACACCCTTAATGTGGAATGGGATCCAGTCCTAATCCTCCCACCTCCTGCCCCATCCCCACCACACACTTTTCAGGGGGCAGCAGTGGGGCTGGCAACTCTAACCTAGGAGGGCTCAGCTGGTGTTACTGGGCTGGACAGTCTCACATTCCAAGCCTTCCACAGCCTTCCGGACCAACCCCGTCAGCTTCTCTGTCCAGGTGGCCTTGCAGGAAAAGGTAAATGATACTCTCTTCTCATCACAAAGTAGGTTTGCTCATCACAAAGCTGATTCAACACAAAGATGAGTTTGTTCTTCTCCGTGTCCCCAACACCAGCCCAGTGCCATGTACCTGTATGTGCTTAGTGATGGTGCGTCACGGGACTGTGTACAGGCATGCGGCTCCATGCACAGACCCAAGGACCAGGCCCGCTCCTCCTGCTGCCAAGTCCCTGAACTCCCCAGCCTGCTCCCCCAGGGACTTTTCTCCCCGCCGACCCTCCAGCCCTGCCCTTTTCTCTTCCAACCCATCAGACTCCCTGAACTTTGTCCCAGCCCTGTTTGAGAAGGAGTGATGTTCTGGGTACCCAGAATCCTGGGTTCTAGACCCGGTGCCGCCACTAACCCCAGAGGCCAAAGCATGGTGGTGGGTGTGGTGGCAGTGGGGCAAGGACCCACAGGATGGATTTTTCTGGGCTTACCAAACCTAAGTTTGGCTGATTCTACCTTGGGCAATACCATCTCCTCTTGGGCCTCAGGAGGAGCTGGACAGAACATTCCAAGGCAGTTCTGCAACCCCTGCTCACCCCCTGGCATGACCTTCACTGCCTGTCCTGGAAGACCTGAGAGGAATCACTCGGCCACAGGTAGGATGTCCCACCCCGGAGACCCAGGCCCACGAGGCTGCGGCAGCCTGAAGTCTCTGTGCCTGTGTTCAGGTCCTGCCCTCCTCAGGCAAAGTGCTCTTCTTCTGTCAGCTAAATCCCTCTGAAGAACTGACGGGGCAATCTTCCCAGAAACACTTCAGTGCGATTGCTCATCAGCCACACCTTGAGATGCGGCGTCACTGTGAAAGTCACAGCAGCTGACACCCAGGTATGTGCCCAGCCAGCTTGCTCCTATTCAGCAAATAACAAAAAAGCAGCACATCGTGCTGGCCTAATGGATATTCCCTAACCCTGACTGAGTGAGAAAGGATCTAAGACGGCACTGTGCAAAGTGAATCAGGTGACACAGCAGGTGAACTGCCACCTCAGGGTATTGCTGTGATGTGGGCCCCGTCCCGGGCTCAGGGCCTCCCCAGGAGACGCTGGCCAGACACAGCAGACCCTGGGCCACAGGCACGCGTCCATTGTTTCCACTCCATTGAGTGCTATTTCTGTGAGCTAGGGACACCACTATTACTTTAACCTGATTCCTTCTTCAAAATAATAATAATAATATAAAGAAGGCAGGCTGAGTTTTCTCCCTAATCTACCTTCCAAATGTCTGTACACAGGCCTTCTTTCCCACAATGTACATACATAGGGTTATGCTAACATACTCATATCTAAAAACCTTGATTAAAAAAAAAACAAATGTGATTTCGCTTGCCTAGACTTGAGACGTCAGCACAGCCTGTACCACAGAGCTATGGGAAGGGAGGAGGGCGGAGAAGAGACCAGGGGCTGCCCCCCACACATAGCATCCCCAAGAAGTCTGGTTGCACCCTCTCCCTCCATTGACAAATCCAGGAAGTGCAGGGTGGAGGGACCTGGAGGGGGTGGGGGGACCTCTGGTCTCCTACGTTCCCACGAAGAACTTTTCCTGCACAAACACAAAGGCTGTGGGGCCAGCAGCCGGCTGCTCCCAGCACGTCCACGCAGTCTCCAAATGCCCCCAAGGATGTGGCCCGGCAGAGAGGACTGCAATATGCTAGTTCCTTCTCTGCTAGAAAACAAAACATTTATCCACCTCAAAGAAGCAGGGGAGAAGCAGGCTTTGACAGCAGCTCACAGACACTGTAACAAACCTAACTCTTAAACTTGGGGAAGCTGAACCTGGGATTCAAAAGATGGGACTGAACAAGGGGACCTAGAAATTACTTGGAGGAGCCGGGACCAGCTTGGAGCACTCCCTCTGCCACGGCTGGGTTTGAGTTGCTTGGCCTGCTTTACGTACTTCGATTTATTAAGCTGTATGGCTCCTCCATTCTAAAAATGGTAGTATTTTCCTTGGGTTAGCTGCCGGTTTTATTAAACCCTGTCTAAACAGAAGGCAATTCAAAGAGGGAAAAAATACTGATTTCCAAATGTTCACAACCCACAACTCAATGCATGGAGCCTACGCTGATGAACTCTAATTCATTCAAGAAGACCACTGATGGGGTGGGGTTGCTTCCGGCACTCTTCCCAAAACACTGGGATAAAACAATCCCATGGAAAGACCAAAATTTATATACAGTGTAACATATTCTTCCTAACAATCTCTCTTCCTATTACCCATTTGAAAAAGTTTCGTCTTTCAAAGTTAGTCTTTTTAAAACACATCAATTTTAAAATTATTTTTTCATAGTTCCTTAGCTTAGCTATGAAATAAATTAACAGGTAAAAAAAAAAAAAAAAAAAAGTTTCCCAGTCTTTAATTATTTATGAATTTCACCAAGGAAT